ACATAAATCAATAAATATATTTTGTTGTATAAACTTAAAACGATTTATTAATCTTTCATCAAAGCCAATCAAAAAAGATTTTTAACGATTCTTTTAACGATTCTATTAACGAAATCGCAACGAAATCGACACGACACGAAAGGAAACGAAAAGGAAACGAAGTTTATGAAAAACCCATTAACGAAAGCATCATCAAGACGTATCAAGTTGTGAATAAAGACCTCTTATACTTTAAAAAAAAGAAAGACTTATAACCGATTTGTGAATATATTCAAATCAAAAGAAATTGGTTTCATCTTATCACAAGTTCAAGTAAAGTCAATTTTTTTGAAAACTCTTATCAATTTGCTGTGATGAAATTGACGGTTTTTGAATCTTTGATTTCGTATTGGTTTTCTTTAGGATTGATTAGTTTTTTTTTGAATTCTTGAAGTTTGGAATCAGTTTATTAGGATCATTGAGAAAGAGTGACGGGAAAGAAAGAAAGAAAGAGATCAGTTGGTTAAAGAAGAAATCGCAGTAAGTAACAGGTGTTGAATCATTAATCTTCTTTCACTTCTTTTCCTCTTTCATCTCTTTTCATTTTCATTTCATCCATTCACCACTTCCAACACGTCCACTTTCCTCTATCCCTTTCGTTTTTTTTGTTCGGATCTAAAGGAGAAAAAAAACCAAGTTTCGGGATCGCATCCCCAAAAATGAAACCCAGATGAAGATACATAGCCATGATCTTCTGAAGTTCTGATTCTGATTCTCGGCTATGGTGTATGTAGCCCGTTAGGCATGATGATAATAGATTTGATTTCCAAACCGAAAACTTTGATGATCTCCCCGCTTTAAAAGTTTAACTTTAAATTGAGATTGAATAAGGCTCAAAGTAGTTTGAAACTTGTTTTAATTTTAACTTCAACTTGATGGCATTAATTTGTGTTGTCTTTGATGAGAAATTGGTTTGGTTGGCTTACAAGTTGAATGATTGGATGATTTGATGATCGAAATAGATTCGCTTGAATTGATTGGATTAAAGAGAGTCACTAGATGTATGCATGATTGATTTATAAGATCTTCATGAAGAAGTTCTTTTAAGTCTTGATGAATTAAGTTGATCTGGTGATTCTTCTTGCTCAGCTTATCCTCTTGACCTCTCTTGACCTGATCCTTATCATTCAACTCTTTCTCTCATTCGATTTCCTACTTTACTTTTCCTTCCAAACCCAACATCAGTCTAAACTTTTAATCTAAAATCTAAGCAATCCATTCCAATCCTCAAACTTTTTCTACTCTTTTTCTTTTTTCTTTTTCTTTTCTCTTTCTTTTTTTTTCTCTTTACTTTTTCATCACATTACTTTCTATCATTCTATGTATGTATCCAATTTATACTTACAGATTGGATACATGAACACATACACATGGAAATCAAAATTCAAACCTATTCAAGAATCTCATTCAAATCTTCAATCCAGATCATCAAAACAAACACAACAAATCAAATCATACATATTCAAATCCTAATCCTTATCATCATTCTTGACTTCTTTATAATTTTGTTCTTTCAATTTCGTCAAATTCAAAGTCTATCACCCTTTACTAATCCAAACTTGTTTTGATCTTTTTTGTGTGGTGTAAAAATCTCCGTCGATCACTTTTTTTTTGAAAAACCCCACTATCTCTCATAAAAAAAATTATAGAAGGTTTAAGAAGCTTTAAGAAATTCTTCATATTCAAAAACGAAACACACCACAAGTACAATTTCAAATCACGAAAGACGAAAGACTGCAAAGACGAAAGACGTACCAAAGGACTCACCAGAGGTATTTGACTAGAAAATATTTGAATGAAGATCGTGGTACGAGTTTAAAGAGAAAGAAAAAGAAGAAAACAAAAACACACACACTCGAGATTTTACATACATCAAGAGACCAGAAACCAGATTGATTTTGAATTTTTTTTGGACGGATTTTCTTGGAGATTTTGATTGTCTTTTTACCATATCGAAACGGAACTTGAGATTCATCCAATCAATCAATCAATTAGAAAAAACATAACCGCATAAGAGAGGTAACATTCGTTATTCAGGTGAGTTGTTGATCCATCCAATTTTTAACCGTTCAATCAATCTGATACTCATCAAACTAAATCTTTTAAACAACCTCATCATTTGGTATGCATTTCTTTTTGAACGAATGTTTTTTTCTTTGGAATCTCAACTTCCTTCTTTTGGGTTAAATAAAACCCCAATTGAATCTCAATTCAATTCCTCATATACTTACTATATAGTTGTCTGTTTTGTTTTCTACTTGATTTGAGCGAGGCGTTAACGTTTTTTTTTTTGGAAATTAACGGTTGGATTCAAGAATTGCACAAGGTTTTCGAAAACTAAAAGAAAACTCATTTAACCACTGGATTTTGTGTGTGTGTGGTTTCTGCACTTTTTGTGAGAAAGACTTTATACTAATTTCAATTTCATTCATTCATTCTTTTGATCTTTAAAAGCAAATAACAACAAAAAACTTATTTCCTCATTTCAACTCGTCATCCTTTTCTTTGGGAAATACCTGGTTTCATAAATCTTTGACTTTTGGTGAACTGTGTGGAATTCTTAATTTGATATCAGTAAGTTCAATCCACTCCATCCAATCCTTTTTTTCTTTACTTTTCTTGATTTTCCACTTCATACATACTGGCTTTGGGAAAAAATCCAAAAAGATCCAAAACCAAACGCACCTTCTCACTCCACTTTTTTCAAAATGGTGGTGTGTTGTCGATCGTTTTATGTAGAATGTATCGTATCGTTAAAGAAATCAAAACTTCTCAAGATTTCTAGTTGTGTGTTTTTTTTCTACCTACACACACACACATTACATATGAAGATCAAGTTTTTTTCTTCGTATTCTTGAATCGTGACCTCATGAACTTGAAGATTCACATCATCCGATTTTTGATTTTTTGGTGTAATGGTTTTGAGTTTTTTTTTCTCTTCTCTCGTGTTTCGAGATATTGGATTTTGGATTTACAAAATCGAAACATGGAGTGATGTTACTGTTTTTTTTTCTGAAATCTTCATCTATTTTGATCTGTTTTTATTGTGCATCGTTCTCTTCTTTTTTTTTCATCGGCGACTGCCTATGAGGAATCTCTTTCGTTAGAAAACTAGTAAACCAACCAAAACGAAAGAAAAAAAAATGGGTTTAAATCAGCTTAGGAATCTTGTAATTCAAACTCCGCAAGCTCTTTGGATCTTTTTAAATCTTTTGATTTCTTGAGATTAAATTTCTTTATCTTTCTTGATTTCTTGTTTCGTTCTTTTTTATCAATTATCGTTCTATTGAATTCTTGAATCTAATTCATTTATTTCTCAAAACATTTCCATTCAATCAATCATTCAATCAAAGGAAGAATACTATCTTTTATTATTCCGGAATTCATACTCTTTATCAAACTTGCTGATTTGAATTTCAACAGAACGCTTCAATGTATTAGTAAGTGTGACTTTATGATGAATCTTCCTTTTGATCTCTATTTCAAACTATTTTCTTTTCTTTTTAAATTATCTACTTCAATCACCGGACCGAAAGAAAGAAAATCCAAATCCAAATGAAATCCCCAGAAAGAACACTAAACTGTGTTTGTTGATAAAAAAACTTTAGTTAGTCTTCTCGGTCCCGAGTGTGTGTAGAAGTTATTCTTTACACTTAAACAAGATGAATGGTGAATCAGAATCAGAATGATGACCCAATCCAGATTTGATTTCGTGTTTAAAGCTGAAGTCTACTAATTATTGAAGATCATCCTGATTGATCTTCTAAGTTTTTCTTTTCATCTCTTTGAAACTCGAATCAGCTCGTTTGGTGACTTCAGCTTACTTGGAAGTCACTGCATCCAAAACTATTTTCTTTACGATCAACTCACATTAAACATAATGCGATCTCAATCGAAAGTGATTTCAGTTGATAATCTCTTCATGACTTATCTATCCAATCAATTTCATTCTTTTCTTTTCTTTAGTGATCGGATGAATTCCAGTTTGATCTCTCATATTGGGTGGGATCAATCTCTATCTACTCTGTGATATGAAAGAAGAGGATAAGATCAAGTGATATGAAACCAGACTGCTGAGTATGGCATTGGCAGGTTTGTTTAAAATAGCTTGAATTTCTTTTAAAGTGATAAAGTTTTTGTTAAATTTCATAAAATCACCTAAACTTGATTAACAGTAACGGTTCCGGTTGATCGTCTTTATTTCTGAAAGATCTTATCCATAACTACTTGCTTGGTGATCAGGAGTGAATTATCAGAGAGAGAGAGAGAAAAAGAAAGACTGATGAGATCGAGAATGAGTTCATCAGGATTGGATTTGAAAGTTAATGTGATCGAAACTAATTCAAGATATCGATCGGACCGTGAAGAGTTGAGGAAATCGATTGGGGTGATCCATCCAATTCCAAGCATTCATCAATCCTTATAATTCACTCAACAAGCCTTCAATCGATTTCAATATATCATCAAATCAGTCTTCACTTTTCACTTTAAAGCCTTTCTCAAAAAATTCATTCTCACCCAACTTATCAAACTTGAGTGATTCTGTGAGGAGATATAAATACCAGTGTTCATCACATTCATCACTTCATCTTCATCTTCACCATTTGTTGTCTCATCTGTTTCTTGAAAGTTTTCTCATTCATCTTACCTCATCTCTAAAGCCAAAGATTATATTTCTTTAAAAAAATAGAAAAGGAGTTGATGATTATACCATCATGTCACCTTTAACTGAACTAGACTCTATCTCCTTTAATGATCATCATCATCGTCAGCAGCAAAAACTTATACCTTCACTTGAACTTGATTCCAATTTGATGGATGTCACCCAACCATTCAAATCTACAATTTATCAACTTCATTCGACTTTTGATTTTGATTTTAATCCTAATCCTAATCCTCATTCCAATTCTAATTCTGACTCTGATTCGATTTTCAAAAAAGATTGTTTTCTAAATCTCTTCATGGATTTAAATTCAAATGCAAATCCCAATCCAAACCAGACATCAAATGCTGAGATTGATTCAAATCCACTTGATTTAATTCCTTCTTGTAGTTCTCAATCTATTCCAACCGATTCAAGCTTCAATATAAACTTTCAACCTAATCCAATCGACAAACCTATCACATCTACCACAATGTCAACTAATATCAATCCAGCTCAATCAACTTCAGATTACAATTTCATTTTACCTAATTCATTTTATCCGTCATGTTCTTCACCAAGAACATCAACCACAACAACAGGTAGTAGTAGTAGTAGTTGTACATCAAACTTGTTACCATCCACTTCATCAAATCTGATTGAAAATTCGACCAATTTGATGTATGAGAATTGTAAGAGTTTGATGAATGGACATCTAAACCCATTAGATTTAGAACCATTATCAACTTTTCATCATCAAACTAATCATCAACACTCCAATCCTATTAATCATTCAAATGAGTTTTTTGAATTTAATTCTAATCATAATAATTTGAATTTATTAAATGATTCTTCTATACCTCGTCAAGTTCATTCAAACTTATTAATGAATTGTAAGTGATTTTTGATAATTCAATTTGACCACACCATTAAACTGATCTTGATTTTTGTTCGACTTTGCAGATCCGAATGAGTTTTATAATATTGATCAAGATGGAAATTCAGCAAGTCTTACGAATCTTAGTTTTTTAAATGCAAGTTGTTTTGATCCATTGATGAGTACTAACAACAATGAAGAAAATCAACAAACCCCAAGCACGATGAATTTCTTGAACACCGATCCACTTTCACCTATTGTAGAAGAAGGTCTCATGATGAGTCCGAATGGAGTTGGCACTGGAACAGATTGGACTTCGTTTGCTGTGAATGCTGGTGGTGGTAGTAGTTCGCCAGTTTCGATTGATGAACAATTCTTAGCACCACAACAAACGCCTGAGAGTAGAGGATCGATTTATTTTTTTTCATCTAGTCCTTCACAGAGACAAGAAAATGGTGATGAAGCAGATGATCCATCGTTTTATTCGAATGTTTCAAATCCAACCAATCATCCAACTCATGATTTCTTAAGACTTTCAAGTTCATCTGATCCGATTCCGACTCATGAAATAAATCCTCATCATTCACAAGAAAGTATTAATCCGATCGAGTTACATTCTTCTTCGATCCATTCGACTAATTTAGATCCTGGAATGTTTTCTAACCATCATCCTCATCCTCATGCTGCACATCAATTCTTGAATAATTCATTAAATCGAAATTGGTGGGAAGAAAACCAATGTCCATCTTCACCTTCACAAATCGGAATCACCACTCAACCAGATTCATCAAGTAGTAGTCATCATAGTAGATTACAATCAACAAGAAAATCCAAAGGATCAAACGAGAAAAGAGATCGAACGAGTCTCGAAGGTTTAGAAGACAAACGAATGATGAAACGAATCAGATTCCATGATAGTTCAAGCGAAGATCATCATAAACCGATGAAATCATATGAAATGAAACCAGAAGAAATGGATTTCGAAATGATGCCTACGAAACGATCGAGAGGTAGAAGACCACCTGTTTCACCTGAAGTCGGTTTACCCATGTTGATCGATGGAAATTTAGATTTGAAAAAGTTGGGCATGCAAGCTGTACCGGGTGGTCAAGCTTTTGATCCTAGTTTGAATCCTAATTCAGATGTGGTGAAGTTTTGTGAATTAACAAAGACTGGGAAACCTAAGAAGATCTTTGTTTGTCAAGTTAGAGGTTGTGGGAAATGTTTTAAGTGAGTGAATTGATTTTTTTTCACGGATCTTGATCTTGGAAATATGGATTGTTTTTTTTTGAAAGTTGAATGAGAACTTGAAGGGGTTTTGTGATGTGCGGTTTTTTGATTTTTTTTTTGATTTTTTTTTGTTTAGACGGAGTGAACATTTGAAACGACATGTGAGGAGTATTCATACGAATCATAAACGTAAGTAAAATTTATGACTTTTCCAACATTTCCAAACCCGAATCCAACGTTTTCTCATGCAAGAAACTAATCTAATTCTTTTTGATTTGTTTTTGATTTGGTTTTGATTTTGGTTTGGGTTTGGGTTTGGATGATGATAGCATATAAATGTCCATGGTTCACTTGTCAAAAATCATTTTCAAGACACGATAATCTAAATCAACATTTAAGGGTTCATAGATTAGAAGAAGGAGGTGAAAGGTTAAATGGATTACATGTTTCTTCGGATGGAATGATTCGATCGGATTTAGGTGAAGTTCAACTTGATCCTATCGAACTTGGTTTAAAGAATGTAGAGATTGAGATTTGTTCGATTGGGTTTTGAGTTTGAGGTTTTTTTTTTGGATAAGATTGGATTTGGATTTGGATTAATTGGAACGTTTTTCGTGTTTGATTTTTTTTTCGGATTGGATCACTTGGATAATTTGGATAACTTGGATAATTTGGATAATTTTGATAACTTGGATTTAGGGTTTCTTTCTTTTCTTTTCTTTATTTCAATTTTGTTTTAATTATTTTCCTTTTTTTTTGGTTCTTTTTATATTTCTTGAATCTGATCTTAAATATGTATGTGACATGTGTGTGAGTGAGTGTGTGAGTGAGTGAGTGTGTTTTTGTTTGTTTTATTATTTCCATCAATCATCAATCAATCATCATGAATTATTTATTTTTTTATGTTTCAAAGAAGAAGAAGAAGAAGAAAGGATGAGTGAAAGCTTTTTGGACTCTTTCTTTTGATCATGATTTCTTCTTTTTACTTTTTTGTATACCTCTTCATATTTTTTTTTATTAGTGTTTGCTTATACAATGTGTTTGTGTGTGTAAGGGTGTGTGTGTGTGTGTTTGTAATGGTTTTTTTGATTGTTTTGTTTAAGTTTTAGGTGTTTGAAAATAAAGGGACTTCATTTTTTGATTTTGATCCTTGATCCTTGATCCTTGATGAATTAAAGAAATTCAATTTATTTTTTGAATTTTGAAACATAAATTTTTTACATTCATTTTTCCATTGAATGGAATATGTAGATTTTTTCTTGTTTTTTGTTTTTTGAAAAGAAGATCTTGCTTCATAATCACAGTAATTTTAAAAGCTGGTTTTCAGCAGTGTATGTCAACAAATTGAAATTGGTTTTGGTTTTTTTTTTTGATCAAGTATGTATGAAGAACTATTATATCACCTAAAGCCAGTCTCTCTCTCTCTCTATATCCTTCATGCTGTGACTCCAGCACTGCACCATTGATCTGTTTAGCTACTATTTTGATAGATCAGAAGAAAGGTGATCAATAAATTTATTGGTCATCTTACAAAGTGAGACAATTGGAAAAACCTTTTTTGTAATTTTTGATTCTCTTCTTGTTGAGCTTTTTGATAAAACCTGTGAAATGTCTTGAACTTGGTAAATAAATAATTAACAACAAAAAAATATAAAGGATCATATACCATTTGTCAATCAGGGCTTTGTAAAGTATTTTTTGTTGGAGATCAGTGGAAATTGAATGTGGTGTGACTTTCTCCTGGTGTGCAACCAGTCTCCCTGACTTTGAGCAAGACATACTTGTCAGACTTACAAATTTGTGACAGAATCTGTCTCTCAGAGTCTCAGTGTAATTTGTGTATTAGTCTATGTATACTTGTTTTTTGTCTTTTGATAACTAAGATTAAAAACCATAATCATCAATTTGTAGTGGGAGTAAGCTATAACTTCAAGTGTGTGATCTCACAAGAAGTTCAATTTGACTTTCACTGTGTTTTCTTTCTCTCAAATTGTCTTGTGTTGTCTCACACACCAAACTGCTTTAGAGAAAGAGTTGGATTGATGGAGGGTTTGATTGATTTTATGACAAACAGGTTTTAACTATGAAGGAAAAGGTAGAGAGAGCAGGTTTAGATGTGTATTTAGGTATCATACCAATCCATTAGTAGTGTCTTGTTCTTTTTTTTGAGGTTTTGGTATTTTTCAAAGGTTTGAGGACAGATTTAAACTTTTACAAAGTTCGTGTATATTTGATTTTAAACCCCAAAGCAAAAGGAAAAAATTATAGAAGAGTTTTTTTTGCTAATCCAGAGCTGAAATAGCTGCAATGTCCTCTGAGATGGTCTGGCATATCAAATGTATATTTCTTGATATGCTCAAAATCTATATAATGTGGTACCATATCAGCCCATTGACTCACATCCATTCAATCTATTCCTATTCTTTGACCAGCTTTCATAAACTTGATGAATATGGCGTGACAGATAAAATTGGAAGATCGAAGATCACGAGAAAGATGCAATTGGGTTGGATCAAGTCATGTTCCAGCAAGAGACTTAATCTAATGTGGACTGTGACACAGTTTCATAGTAAAACACGGCATTGGCTTTGAAGGACTGAACGTCTCCACGAATCAACTCAATCATTACATTATACCCGACTGATCAAACTTCTATGAAACAAATTTTAATCGATCATCCAGGATCAGATCCCGAGTTATGATGCGGGAGGTCCTTGTTCTTGTTTTTCTAGTGTCGCCCGATAGCCATCTACAGTCCGTACCACAACCTCACCCCGAGCCTGATTAAGAGTTCCCACCACACGCGAACCAGGACTACTGATCAAAGCCAGGATTTGCTGTCTTAAAACATCCAAGCTAGGTAATCGACTAAGTTCCTCTACTCTAGATTTTTCAGTTTCGACTTTATCTTCTATGATTCCTATCACAAATGGTAATCGATCAATCACGATTGAAGTTTGATTTGATTTAAGTTTTGAGATTTGATTGATTTGTGATTGAGTAGGTATAGAAGCATGTTTTGATAAAATCTTTAAGGCAGATTGAATGATAGTAGGATTAAATTCATCTTGACTTAAACAAACTAAATTACCATTTAGATGAGAAGAAAAAGATTTTAGTAAACTTGGATTATTGGTTTTGGAATCTTTGGTTAATGATTTTAAAACAGGTGAAATCATTCTTGTTCGAATGACTTGTAATTTTAATTTTGATGGATTTGATTGAGTGTCTTGTTGATTTGATAGTTTTGAAAGTTCACCTCGGATCGAATTCCATTCTTTTGGTGTTAAGTTTTGGTGTCTAAAAAATAAATTTAATTTATGTTTTGTAAATAAGTTTCTATAGTTTTCAAAGATGAATTGTTTTCTAATTGGATAAGTTCTTCCACTTGTTTTTCTATTGTTTGGAATCGCTCGAGTTTTGACTAGTTTGATTGGATTGATCGATGTGGTTGAGAAGAGATGGGTGGGTTGAGTTGGTCTTTGAATGTTTTGAAGAGGTGGGTGTGTTGAAAGTGTTTTGATTGGAAGAAGATTTGGTTTGAGCTGAGGAATGAACGGCATCGTTTGTAAGATCTAGCTGAATGGTTTATAGAGAAGATAAAGATTGAGCCCTCGGTGTTCTTAAATTAGATGATTATAAACTCAAATGAGCTCACCTTGAGTAGAATCGAATCACAGATGGTTGACCTTTGAAAGCTGTCGTCAAGTTCCGCTTCAAGTTCAGCTGAATCAAATCTGAGATCGATTGCTTGAGAAAGGATGAGTTCGTATAAAAAGTTGTATGCTTATGTCGTGAGGTGTGATGATGTATGTGTTATGGGTTTATGCAACAGCCCAAGTCTTTCTTTTTGCACACGGTATTGACATTGTGGCCTGGCTTGAACGCTCTACAAATGGAAGAGAGTATAGAAATGATCTTGTATTCAAAGAAACATGATGTTGGTTAATCTCTGGTAGGTAGACAGGAAACCCTTTGTCATACAATTCCTAAGACTCGAGTCTCAGAGTAATGGAAATATGACCGCAAAATCTACCTTCGAATTGTAATTTGTCATTCAGGTTGAGCTTTTTCTTCTTAGTCTTTTGTTTGAAGGTTTATTGCTCAGTCAATTTGGTGCCCTGTGTTTCGATCACAACTGAATCATCACGTCTAAGTGTCTCTTTTCCAAAGATGACAGTAAGTCATTTACCTTCTCAAGTATTTCGTTCAAGGTAACGATGTCTCAAGGTACATTTGATGCGTCTCTTTTTGCTTGGAAGTGACGGATACAAGGATGTGTTGAGCTCAATAGGAATGCAGTTTTCAGAAAAAAACCCATACCTTGGAGGATTCAATCATCTGTTGCATGGCAATGGCTACATACTGCATAGCCTCGCCTAAGGTGTCCACTCCCAATCATGACTTATCTTTGTCATCTAGCTTCTCATTGTCTGTTTTCTCTTTCGTCTCGATACTTGCACGAAATGTGAAGAAATATGGTTTCAGTACACTCCCTTCATTAATGACATGATGGCATATGAGAGTATTTAGGTATCTAGAGTCAAGCCCCCTTCGGACAACAAATTTAGTAGCACAGTGAGGCTATGAGGTGCTGAAGAAAGGAAAAAGTGAAAATCGATTTAAAACAACTTCTAACGAGAGAATTTACATTGCAGTTTTAAAGGATCTATCTCATTGTGATGACTAGATAATAGCTTTTTCTTATCCACACTAATTGTCTTAGGCGTGTATATGGCTCAAGCATTGAAAATTTATCCTTGTGATGATCAGGGCGACTGATGCTTTTCAATTCATACAATGTTCAAAGAAGGAAACTTTAAAGAAAAAAAGACAGAAAGAGAATAAGGTAATGTTTTGGAAGGTGGGGATGTATCGATGAAGACTTAAATTCCACAGGTATTAACTCGCATCTGGACTAATGCCATGAGGGTGACCAAATAGTACTGCAAAGTATGAGTGAAAGGTATATGTTAGTGATCATATTAGTAGATTTGTATAAAAAAAGAACATACGTCAGGAACGGTACCATCGCTCCTCAAGACGTAAGCGTCATCGGCGTGGAATCTCGAGAGTAACCAAGGTTCATGTCGCTTCTCAGCTTGAAAAATTGAAATCATAAATTAGAAACAGGCGAATGTCAGATGAAGCTATCAATTTTATGAACTCACTGTGTAAGGTAGCGACAAGTTTCTTGTTATCAGCTTCAAAGATTTTGCCTGTTGAAGAATTTTTCAAAATCAATCAGTATCACAAGTCTAAGATATACTCCCAAAAAACTCGAGATTAGAAAAGATATAATTCAAGTTTTAATTTACCATCTGCACTCATCGCATTACGATCAAATTCGTATTTGAATCCAGGTAAGAATCTTGAGGTGAAAGTCCATTCGTCAGGGTACATTCCACGTGGATCGATCTTGACTCGTAATAAATCGTGTTGATCGACGTAATGAGTTTTACCAAAACAAAAGTCATCATACTTGATAAAAAGAAATTCAAGTCAGTCTCACATCAGACAGAAAAAAACGAGTACATATGGGACTTACTGCATTCATCCGCAAGAGAACATTTCCAGCTACGTCAGTGGTGACGTATTCTGAGTAACCTTGACGGGCGTTATCGATATGATGGGTGACCTTATAGGCTTCTTGTGAGTTCAGATTGAAAACTCTGATACCTCCATCTTCGAAGATGATATTCTTAGGAGTGATAAAGGAGGCCCTGAGGGCAGGATCGGGATCAGAACTCGAACGGCGAGCGAGCTGACTGCTTTGTTGTTCTGGTGAGGCAGTCGCAACCAGTAAGTGGCAGAAAGCCACACCGATGGTGATGAAAATCGAAGCAGGAGACATATTTATGATGTACTTGTGAAGATTTTTTAAAGATTGGAAATCGGGTGGGGAAGAGGATTCAGATTTGAGACGAATGAGAGGGACTATAGAGCCTTTTTAAGGTGAGCATCGAGCTTTCTGATACCACGTTCCAAGATCATATCATAAATCTCATCTGAAGTCAACTTGACCAGCAGTAAAAATACAATCCTCAAGACATTTTATCATCTCGATATGCGATGCGTATACCAAGAGAATTTGAGCCTCAGACACGTGAGTTCGGCGGCCTGAATCACATATGTCGTGGCATTTGACGCCGTAGTATCTTCTTTACAATTTGTTGAAGAGAAATCTGAACTCAAGATAACTTTGCAACACGAATGGCAGTGCAGACTGCGATAGGATTCGGAGTTGAAATTGGAATCGGTAAATACTATTAGTCTTACAAGTTTGACGGGGATTGTTCGGAAAGGTGGTGAACTGTTAAACTGCGTGGCTTGGACTAAAAACATAGCTTATGTGTGCCCAAGTCATGATCGATGTTGTATTCAACGACATGCGGCCTCATGCGGCCAAGCGATGATGAGGGCCTATGAGAGCTGAGGAATGCATTTCAACTATTAGATTCATCACGCAGAGTATTTGTATCAAGTTCTCCGCGATATAGGCTTTCAAGCACTCCTTGATGATCACTCATCCTTGGCGAAGGGTGATGACTCGATTTCCAGAGATGATTGTTCATAGTCGGGATTGGGACAAAATCAACTTGACAAATTCTAATAAACCCAGACAGCTCCTAAAGTGTTTGCCATGAACAGCAGAGTTAATCATCATATGTGTGAGCATGATCATGTGGTTCCTAAAAAAACCCCATTGGCATGTCCAAGCCGATCCCAACGCAGCGCCATACGGACAAGATGATATATGTCACGTAGTGCACTTCTGTGCAGCTTTTTTACATAATCCAGCGCCGAATCCACCCGACCAACCGATTATGGATTTCTTAACATCTGTTTTACTCAACTCGGACGTATTCTGTCACGACTCACAGCAATATTTCAAAGTCATGTCATCATCACTCCGGGTTCCACTGAAGCCTGAGTTTCATGTCTTGAGAGTGTTTTTTCATGACACTCACACCTGCGGTATTTTTAGACTCTTGTTGTGCAAGCTTCATAAACTTTTCAAAATTCCCTTGGTGTGATCCTCAGGGAATCAGGACACTTTATGAGCTACTCATGGTGGCCCGAGGCCTAGAATTGCAGATTTTTCCCGGCCCGGGCAGAGGAAGATGTGAAGGAGCACATGAGGGCGGCCACGACCGGCGCTGAGCTCATCCACTGGAAGGCTCCCCGCTCCTTTGACCATAACTGACAATACTGAATCTGTGAGAGCTTTGCACCATGTAAAACTTGAACCCTCTGGTATGACAGAATAGGGTTGTGGGCGGGAAATCAAAAAAGCTTGAGAACAATAAAAAAAGATCAAAATGATAAATACATAGAGAGATTTTTGTAAAGATGTATGTAGGATGTAGTTATACTATATACTTTTTAAGATCACAAAATGAAGAGATAATATTTCATGAGTTTTTTTGATTACAATTTTATTTGATAAGATTCTAGAGAGAGTGGGAACACAACACAACATTCAGGAAAGAGGTAAGTAAAATGTAAGGTTGAGGCCATGGCTTGACTCATTGGGGAGGTCTGTCAATTTCCCAATTTTGTTGCTCTTCCTGACTGAGTGGTTGTAAGTCATTACCTTTTGCCCATGTGACATTTGCCTTATCCCAGATTCCATTTTTTAAAATCTTCAAGCCAACCACGAGGTGTGTTCACTTAGGGCGCATTCACTTAAGGAATCTCTGACCAGAAATCACATTCTGTAAATTATTTAATGCAAAAATGAAACATGCACCACCAAATAGACACTTTAAAATCTGCAGAATGTGATTTCTCACCAGAAATTGATTAAGTGAACGTGCCCTGAGATTATCTAATGATTTAAAGACTGCGGTATGGTGATCATATTATGGTATAAATCAAAAAAAGTAATCGTAAGTAGTTTACCAAAGTTATTAGAAAAGTTCAGCACAAAAAAAAACTCAAATTGATGGAATCTGATCCATAGAAGCTCTTTAAGGCTCATAAATTGCACATTACATTATGATGAGGTGATTTTATTTCAAACAACATATTAATATCAATTTGAATTATTAGCAAAAGGATTGTGAAAGGAAAAGAAAGAAAAACATAAGAGAAAGTTGAAAATATAGGTATACAGGCTGGGAAATGGTGTTTAGGGTATTGATTGTAGGTTTATGGGTTTTGTAATGTTGGAAAATGAAAGAAAAGCATTATATTATACAGTAAAAATTTTAATCTTGATGGTTGATAAGGAGGAGCAAAAGCTATTAGGAACACTGTACTTTTTTGAAGTTGATAAAGAAGGGTTTTACGGGTAGTTTACATATGTAATGGTGGTATTAGTAATATTTAAGGTTGCCAAGAGGATTTTCCGGGATTTTTAAGGTTCAAGATGATGATGTAACATTACAGGAGCAAGAGAGTGTTAGCAATAGCTGTGTAAAGAGGAGAACATGTGTGAATTTTGTTTGAAAATGGAGGTTTTCAGCTTATTACATATGTCAAATGACGTCAGAATTGGATGGTGAATGGCTCATTCAACGTAGAAGCTCGGATTACATAAATTACAAGCTTTACACTACTAGTAACAGAGGTGAGGAAATAAATTTATAAGAGTAATAAGAAATTGGAGTGAACTTTGAATTTTATATTTACATGCATACATGTAACAACATTTACATACAAAAACCTTAACTTCACAACTCAATAACTCATCCATTACTCATCAGAAGTACTTGATATGGCACCAATTATTAAGAAGAATCACGAGCTCTATAAGATGCACTTTAGTAACCAAAAACTGGACATCATCTAAAAAAATCCACAACCTCAATAATAGGTTTTCAGCCAGATTACACGGGAAAGATCACCTGTAGTCATCATGAGAAGAACTGTGTAACATCTCATTACATTATTGATCACTTTTGGCTGTTTAAATGCATCATCTATTAGTAACAAAGTATTACATTGCATCATTAAATGGTTTTTAGGGGTTTTTGGTCAAAATTGATTGGTTCTTGAGGCCGTTGACCATTGTAAGAGTTGTTACACATCAATATATATACTCATGGATGATTTTGGGATTGCTGTTCCACTTTCTGCATCTTATACCTTTGTTTTAGTGTTATAAATCATCATTTATTTAATACATTTGTACTAAGTTCACTTAAATCTGCCCCTTCAAAGTAAAGAGAAATTTATTTACATGTGTTAAAGATTATAAGGCTACATTTGCCTGGGCTTTATTAATGTGATGTACCTTACAGTCAAGTGCATTTTGTTGCCACAAAATGGGTTAATGCAATTAAAACCCCAAATTTCAATTTTAGTCAATAATGTACATTTTAATGCATATCACGTTTGGAAGTCATCAACATTGACCTTAATTATGCATTTGAAAAAACTTGACTTGATCTTTGAGGCAAAGTGAGGGACTTGTGCAACTCTGACAGATTTAGTGAATACTTTGATCTCTCTCAGAAACAATTCAAAAGATCATGTTCAAATCACACTATCATCCAAGAAGAAGTTTGAACATCATTTTTTCTTGTTCTGATGAAGATGACTGTTTAGAGGTTTAAGGACGTAAACTTCTTTGTCTTCATCTTCAGACAACAATGTATGGCTAATCCTTGCTTTTAGAAAAATTGAGACACGGTTTGTGTAGATGAATGAGTCAAGGGGAGTGGGAGAGTGGTGTGATGAGACAAGGTTTAAGATCAATGACCAAGTTGAAAAGGTCAACTTTGGGTGGGATCAAGGTAAACCCATCTGATAATGCACCATTTCAGCAATATAATTGACTGTAGAGTCAATTATTTTTAAGTGCATCATTGGTGCATTATTGAGTGTTTAAATTGATCAAAATTGTGGATTAAAAGGCTGCCAAAGAACTATTTTTTTAATGTGCATTGAATAAGAAATTTGATGTGTTTTTGGTTTAAGGTGCATTAAAATTCACCAGCCAAACATACCTAAGTCTCCTTTGAGAATGACACTTACAAAAGTATTGCTAGTAATTGATATTGTTTTGTGGACTTTTTGCACTTAAAACTGGAATAATACTTAATAAAAGTATTGAGAACTTTTCTCTGGTGTCTATTATCTTTTTCTCTGTTATCACAAAGTGGTCAGCAAGTGCCCTTGTGCTTGTTTCTTTGAATAAGGCAGTCTTTAGACAACATCCAATGTTCATATTTTAGTAGATTAAACCTTCTTAGGTGTTGTAAAGCTCTTGTTGAGCTTTAAATACTACAGCAGGGACTCACATATTTGGGTGGGTGCCTGGTGATCACAAGAATCAAGTAGCCTTATGTTGTTGTTCTCACTACAAGTAATTATTGTGGAGTGAAGATGGGATGGATACTTCAAATTTGGTGTGTATGTTATTAGGCTGTAGTGAATTTGACTTGGGGGTGGGACTTGTGTCTGAGACTGGAAGTTACAGAAAGGATCATCTGAGGGATATTCTAGGGAGCCACTGCAAGGATATGTATGTAGTTATCCTTGGGTTGGACCCAAGTTCACTGAGTGCATGAGGTGGTTTGAGTATTCAACTTTTAAAAGTGGGAATTGCATTGATGGTTTGGTCTTAAGTTTTCTGTGACAGCTGAATCTATCAAGTGTGATCAAGAGATACCAGCCTGGTACCAGGTGTGAAAGGTCAAAAAAATTGAAATAAAATAAGCCACAAAACCCGTCATCATTGTTTGGTCCAAGAATTGGAGCCTGTGTGAAGCGCAAAAATTTTTTGCGCAGAACTTGGAGTGGAAAGTGCAGAATTTCATGCACATCTGTACTGACAGCTCTCACAGAGCACTGTATGAAGTGGCAAGGTGGCTTCTTCAAACATGTTTCATCCTAACAAGAGTGTTGGGTGACAAAAATGAGACCAACTTAGAACGTTGGGTAAACAACAAAAGAGATAGGAAACACAAGAAACAAGGCCTATCAGTGTTTTTGAAAGACCCCATGTTGATTCTTGACAAAAGGTCAAAAGGTTCAAGACACACAGGAAAAAAGAAGGAAGGTGGTTTCATTGATAACCAATGCTCTGATGCACAATCCAACAGTGACTCTGATGTTCACACACTTGTTTGGAGTCCTTGTGTTCAAAATATAAGAATGATTATAATTTCTTTGTTACTACTGTCTAGTTTGTCTTACACTTTTGGTGTCTTATCTTGGTCAATCTGAGATTGGATAGACAGATCTAAGCAGATCTACCTTGAAGCAAAATCAATTGTTGTTGAAGTATCATCATTTCCTAATCAATAGTTCAAGTCAATCAAAGTATTGAACAATTATCAAGATCAAAGTTTTGAATGGTTTCATTTGTTATCTTTTGAGACGTTGATGATTCAGCAAACACTTTCTTTCAAGATTTCATCAGAAATAGCCTTGTTTCTCAATTATTCCAGGTGGACGCTGTTGACATGATCCATGTAATACAAAGTCTGTCAAGATCAAATTGAGATCCGTACTGATCATAATTAGTGTTCTTTAATTTCAATCTGCTTTAACACAATCAGAGAGCAGCTGGCAATTTGTGCTGAAAGTTTGTTGGATTGGCAAGAAGTAGCTCATCTTGATTTTTTTGCTGGATAATACATGTGGTTGGAATGATCCACATTGGGCATAGCTTCAAACGGCCTTTCTGCTTTGGAATGCTGAAACCAATTGTGCACACTATATCTACCCTGTGTGTTCCCCTGTATATTGCACAATTTCCGCACTTTCAAGGCTCCAATGCTCTTGATTGGTCAACAGCCAAAAATCATCCATCATTAACATCAGAAACCAATTACTTCAATCAATCATCACCATGTCAAAATTAACTCTGCTATTCATTGATAATGTCACTGGTTATTCTAAAATGTGGTAGGCAGTAAAATATCCTTTAATTGCTTCTAAACCAACCAGTCTGGCACTTTAATTGACTTTCACAGTTTCTTCTGGACACCGGTATCTACCATTCAGGTGTCCAACAGCAATAGCCACACGGGTAGGAGCCATGTGAGTATTCATAAACTATTGGGCCAACTCTTCACTAAAAGGTGAAGTGCAGATAATAACAAAGTCTCCACTGGGACAGGGTATACCCAAGTGAAGAGTATATTCATTTGACAAATGATTTAAGGCCAGCGGGGTGGATAGATTATTCCTCTAAGTATGTTACTCTGAACTCTGGTTGATCTTGCACTCAAAAGCCAACAGTATCTTAGTATTTCAAGGTTCAGAGGTGCTGTGGGGTACTTTAGACTCTTTGAAGAGGAACCCTTGGTATATTTCAATCTTGTTCTCTTAGCTATTGACCCCACAAGCCCAGAACACCACTTGGGGTTTGCAATAAACTTGATAAAGTAGAACTATGATAATCAAGAGAACCACAATATCACTATAGTCTATATTCTTGGTAAAGAATCAGGTATGATGTGATGATTTGTTTTTGGATGATGCGAAGTTGGTTTCTCTTCCAAAGTGTGGAGAAAAAGGTTTCATATATCCAAGACCTAGGCGTCAACTCGTGGTTGGCGCTTAAGTTTGATTTTCTTTGGTTTAGGTTCAACTTTGCTATTTAAGTTGTAGTTAAGTCTTGTTATTCAAGTGACTCTTGATACCAAACCATGAGGTGTAATTGTTATGGCTTTAGGCAAGTTAAATATATTTAAATGTGTGTTTGTTAGTCGGATCCTTGGTGCTGTACACAGGGCTCAGGGCTGGCAAGCCAGCACTGGAGGAAAATTACCATACCCAACTGTATCTGGTAGACCAAGCATACTGTTGATTAATCCAGATATGCAATGAGGGTAGAGAAAGGGTTATACAGCACAATATCCAGTACTGCACAGGTATGGTAAAGTTACTGTGCCTGTAATCTGGTACTGGGGATCCTGGGTGGGTATCCAGTGTGGTACCGGATGCTGGGTACACAGGAACCATATCTTGACTCACAATACCTCAATTAAGGCTCCCAGGTATAGTACCTGTCATCTGGATATGATTACCAAAGTACAGTAATGACATGTTAAGATACAATACAAGACAGCACTGATACTGTAGCTGTATCTGTGACAGACTTGCTACTAAACATGGTATAGGTGATACAGCTTTCTTTATTGGTTGTGAAGAGATTTCAAATTTGAAAGCTTAACTCCTCATAACCAGCTTCAAGCTTCAAATAATGTAGTTGATTCCATAAACTACCTCATTATTGTCTACATATATATTATTTGGTATGGCATTCAAGAAACCAACTGATACTAAGGGCACGTTCACTTAAGGAATTTCTGACCAGAAACCACATTCTGTAAATTTTTTGATGCAAAAATGAAACATGCACCACCAAATGGACACTTTAAATTTTTCAGAATGTGATTTCTCATCAGAAATTGACTAAGTGAATGCGCCCTAAGGCATCACATAGCACCACACTACACTGTGCTACTAGCCACTGATAGATTAGTTGAGCCACCATTGGATAGCCTCTCCTGGAAGTTTCCAAGGAAGATCAAATGAGTCTCAGAAACTGATAACCAATTCTTACATCTGAATGACTTTTTGGATCCATTCAAGAAGTTTGACACACTGGCATTTGAGTGCTAGGCAACTTTTGCGGCTCTCCCTTGGTCAGTGCCAGTGTTTTTGTTCTCTTGCTTCAATGTGTTGCCAACACCTGCTCATCTCCTACCCATGCTTTAAATTTTTGCTGGAGCATTTAAGCACATCTGAGTGAAGAAATTCTTAGCTCACATAAACACGCTCTAGCACCTCTTACTATGTTTTTGGAATCCACTTCTTTATACTACATATCATATGTAATGCACCGACCTGGACCCAGCCCAATGATTCTGGGCTGGACCGGGCCCGACCCCCCTTCTAGACCAGGCTGACCCGGTCTGCTAGCCCCAATGCTAAGATTGACCCAAAACCCCCCAAAAAACATAAATATTGGAGTTTTGTTTTTCTTTTCTTTTGTCACCTTTTCTATAGCTATCTACTACAACAAAGGACCAAAAAAACATCTTTTATATATGATATTTGAAGAAATTAAGACAATTTTGGTGAAATTTGAGACCCTCTGCACCAAAACTTGCCCCCAAACCATATGAGCGGGCCGGACCGGGCCAACCCGGCTCCACTCAAAGTTGAGCCAAGACCCGCTCGACCCGGTCCTGGTCCCGGTACCAGACCGGGTTTTCCGGACCAGGTCGATGCATTAATCATATGGTATTTGCAAATTGGGGGCCTATGAGAACTTCTTAACAGTGTGAAGCAAACTTTGGCTGACAATTTTTTGTTGAGGTAGGATTTTTGATAGCAGGAAAGGGATCAGAAAAGATTCTGTTTTTGATGAAATGCCACACTATCTTACATTCCACTCATAGTGTAGCTTGGCTACTACTGGTTGAACTCTTTGGCTTTTTCTCTAGTCAAATACATGTCCAGCTATAATAACACAGGCCTCAGAGGTAACATAATAGATAGAAGTAAAGGCCAAAAATATTGAAAACATTAACAGGACCTTTACAGGAAAATGTATTCAAATCATTCCAGAACAGCAGAGCCCTTACAAGAGAGCTTTCTTCCCAATCTTAGCAATACTTTTTCGTTGCCTCAGTGCCTGTGTGAGTTTCTTATCTTCCAAAACTTCAAAATGGTTCCAAAAGTCTGCATAAAATTTATCTTGTGAATCTTGATGAAGGAATTCAGAGAACAGTGTGACTTGATATTTGGGTGTTGGATTATTTTCATTCAGAAATGTGTGGATCCCACGGCAAAAGTCCTTGATTGACAAAGGTGGAAAACCTGATTTTTGTGAATGTGAAGTTCTTATGAATTTAATTGTTTTCATGAAGTCCATTTCCCATTGGTGAATAAACGCAGCCACCCTATTATTTTCCTTTACCAAAATATTGCTCTCAGGTTCACCATTTACCAAAAGAATTTGCTCCGAATCACTCCTTGGGTAATCAAGAAATGTTGGCCATTGGACATCTTCAGCTTTCTTTCTTATATCAAGAGATTTTTTTTCCCAGTCATCCCATACTGACCCAGCCTGCTTCTGGTTGGTGCTGGTGTATGGATAACCTTTCGAATAATCACCCTCAAATGTTTCAGAAACATGCCGTTTTAACATACAAAGCCTTGCTTTTGAATGACACATAAAAGTTTTCAAGGCATCATCTTCATGAATTACCAAAAGATTCCTGGCCAATGTTGATAGTCCCGAGACTGTGAGCTGTCGGCTCATGAGGTTTGTTGTTTCACCTTGTGGTGATTTGATCTTTGAACCCAATTGTGCAATATGGTAGGTTGCATCTGTATGCCACACAATAAATCAGGCTAGTTTCTCTTTATTGGAGCAAGTTCCTTCTTCCACACACCACTGGTTATAACATTTCAAGATGTATGCTGTCATATGTTTTATATTCTCCCAAATTCTCAAGGTTGGATTGCAAGAAACAACAAAATACACAAATGGCAGTACTAAATTTGGTGTCCACATTTGTTTTGCTGCCTCCCAAGTAGGATAATTTGTTTGTTTTGTCTGTGGTTGATATTTTATTTTCATGGTTGTGAGGAGATCTTTTGTGAAATGATACGCAGCAGCTGAACACATTTTGTCTGGATTGTGCGAGTAAAATGTTTGAATATTAATTCCTTGCATCCTTTTCACAGAAGTACATGTAAGTTTTGGATTATTGGCCAGTTTTGTTTTGCCTTTGTATGCATATTTCTCTTTGCTTTCCCAACTATATGGTGACATTTTTTTCAAAGGTTTAGGTGGCATTTGGAGGACATGAGGTTGGAATTTCTGATTGATCCCCTTGGGATCTTTCTTGGGAGTCTGGTCAGTCCTTGCCTGTTTGAGTTGAATTTGATCAGCCTCTATGGCACAATTTCCATCAATCATATTTTGGATATGAGATGTGGAACCCTTAGATCTTGACCACTCAGAAACCTGGTTGCCTTTTGAAACAGGCTTGGGAAATTCTAATTTGCCTTTGGGAAGTGCTCCTTGACTCTCTATTGCACCAATAGGTAAGGGTTTTTTTACTTTGGTTCCAACAGAATCATATCTGTTTTGCATCTTGTCTTTATCAAATGATCTATGAGCTTGTTTTGGAAAGTACTCATCAAGTGCTTGGTGACCCAAAACCAAATTGCCTGCTTCTTTATTTTGATTTCCTGTAATTTTCTGACGTTTGCTAGAGCCTATCATCAGATTGTCTGTACTCATATTTGAATTTGCAGGAGTGCACTTTAGGCCATGATTCCCATCACTCATATTTTGTACGTAAGATTCTGAACCTTGAGAGCTCAACAAATTTGAAATCAGGCGGCTTTTGGACCTTGGTCTTTGTTGTCCTACTTGAGCTCTGTTGATTTCTCCATTATTCTTTACTGGGCCAACAGTTATGTGTGTTTCAATATCTGGAGTAGCATATGGAGAGATTTTGTGTATATTTCTTCCATTATGGAATCTATGAGCCTGTTTTGGAAAATACCAATTGTGTGGTTGATATGCCAAGTCCACAACATCTTCATGTTGCTTTTGATCTGTTAAAGTCTTCTGATGTTTGCCAATGTATTCTTTCCTTTGTACTTCTCTGGTGCCAGTCTGGAGTGAGGAGACAGCATCCTGAATTTCATCAACATTCAATTTTGAAATTTTTGGTAAGCTTGGGTTCATAGATATGGCCACATCAGCTGAGATACTCAATGTCACTATCACAAAATTGCCAAAGCTTATCATTTTATGCAGTATAATTTGGGTGAAAGGTTTTGATTGAAAACTCTATCAAGTGAGACTCTTTGTATATTGGAGGGGGTTGAGGTGAGGATGATAAAGTACCAAGCATCACTATACATTGTCTGCAGGTGTGCATGATCCTGATCAATAGCTCCCCTATATGTCATGATATCAAATCTCACTTACATTGAAATTGTAACAAGTCTGGTATCATGTACAACCAATTACAACTGATTGGAACCACTTGCCAGCTTTTATGTAATTTTACTATCACCCATTACTATTTTTTTGACTACCCTTGTTCGTAGTAGCGACTGCCTTATATTGTTGTTAGAGTACAGTTGTGATCATCATATATTGGTAGTCCAATCAGAGCAGTAGCATTGGTTGTTCAAAAAGCAATATTAATCAAATATATATGAATAATAAGATTACCAGGATTTCACCAAGAATGTGAAGTGAATGAAGTCCTAGATAAATCAAATAGAAGAGAAAAGATGGGCATTGAATCAGCTAGAACTGTTATGGACACACAGATGACTCATGGGAGCCACTGAACAATCCACTACAATCTTATCATTCAGCTGAATTGATTGCTAAGTTTGATTGACACTCTCTCAAGGCAGTGGAAGAACAAAATTGGGGGTAAGGTTTTTTACCTACACAGTACTTCATATGGCCCTGGGAGGGCAGGGATGCAAAGAGAGAGCCCAGGTCCAAAGGGGGGATAGTGTTAGGGTTAGATCACATATCATATTCTGTGACACTCCAATCCCGCAGTCTACAATGGGAGACACACACCATATTATACCCCATTTTCCTCATGATACAAGAACTAGCATAGCTGGCTCTCAACTTTTCCTTTAAAACCCTACCTTGGGCCCTGATATGAAGGCTGATTTTGTTGCTGCAGTATTGACTAAATAGGATAGAGAGGTGTCTGATACTTCATTAGTAATGGCTGGGAGCCCTGGTAATTTCTTGCAAGCTAAGTTGATTGTGATCCAGATTGACTTTGAGCTAAAATGATGGTGAAATCCTTATCTCAGTTACCTGTAGTATGCCTGGCAAGAAAAGGGCCATGTGCTAGCTCTGCTGAGCACCTTTCTGTAATACTAACATTTGACAATCTCAATCAGGCCACACCTCCTAACCAGACTAACCATTTGCAGCTTGTCATAAACAAATAGATAGAGCCATCAAAAGAAGAGTTATACTGTAGGAGAGATCAGGCAGAGAGACATAGAGGTCAAAATAATTTATTTGTTAGCAGAGGAAAGCATGGTCCTTTCAGATAAGTCATGTGGCATCATCACTCTAAACAATTACAATGTCAAACTGTGCTGCAAAATAGCTGTCTGATCCATGCTGATATGGGATGGTCAAACCAATAGGAACTTTCCTTACCAACACTAGGAGCACTGTTAAGGAATGCTCCTAAAATTATCCACACAGTACCATGCCCTCCTTTCAAACCCCTAGCAACCCCTCACCACATTTGGATTGAATCAGGTTGCCAGATTTCAACTTTTGCAATAGCAGGGGTAAATTTGCCCAAATTTGCCTAGAATACCATGAACTTTTGCCTCCAAGCCCTTCATTTTTTTGAAAGTTCAATCTCTAAAAATGTGCTTTTAAGTTAGGGTGTTCCAATAGTATTTTCAAAATTTATCATTTTCAAGTAGCATTTTGATATAGGGACAGTTACATTTCAGGCATACATATTTCCAACTTGAACCTTGCTAATTTAAGTGTGGTGAGAGCTTGAGACTATCTAATAACAGATTTAGTGATGTAGAACAAATTAAATGCAGTCAACTCTTGATATAAGCAAGCCCCATGCATGCATATCATGATCCAATGTGTGATTTTTTGGTATACAGTCAACTCCCTCTAATTACATACAGCTTGGCGGGTGGTTTTTTCATGCACTTGAAGAAATATGCACTTATAGACCTCATTTTGGCTGGAGAACCCCTTTTTGGCGGCAAAAAATCCTATGCACATAGAGAATTATGCACTTACAGGGATATCAACTTAGAGGGAGTGGACTGCATGTGTTTGCTCTGCTAATATCAGATGTTTTGAAGCATAATGCTTAATGCATGAAATTGGTGCAAATGCCCTAATATACTTTTATTTCAAGATTTCTCTGTGTATCTCACGGGAAAAAAGAGGTGATTTTCTTGTTGTAAAACTCATTGTATTTAACACAGTTGATGAGCCAAAATGTATCAGGCCAGCATTATTTGTGCATTATTTATGTGTTTTGGCTCAGAAACTGCATTCAGTGTAATCCCCACAGGAAACTCCCTCTTTTTTCCACCATGTAAATATCTGTGAGGCACGTTGACATGCACAAATGGAGAGTTTTGAAATAAAACTTGAAGTGTTTTGGTTGGATTGGGACTGAGATTGTTGTTGAGCACCCTTTGTGCTTTGTGATTTGTTCAAAGGATTTGCAGAATCCTTTGTTGTCAGCAGGGGTCAACTGACTTTCAACCTCCCAGGTGATAAGGGGAAGATGTGCTTGTTATGGCACCTCTTTGATGGGTTGTTACCGGGTCTAAGGAAAGTCTTGTGTGTGCACGTCAATGTGCTACAAGGATATTTACATGGTGTTCCTGTTTCTGCCAACCTACTGCTCATCCTTGCCCTATACACATAAGTAAAATATTCAAGTCAGAAAAGGACCAAAATCAAATTATGCTTAGTTTGCAATCATTCATTGCTGAATTTCAGCTCATCATATTTGTCAATGGTTATCATGATTATATCATGATGACTTTAATGAACAGTTTCTATATCTCATGAAGTACATTTAATGGGTACAAATTGATTGGTCTTCTAAAACTGAAAACTGGAAATTGTCATATAAAAGATTCTCTGTTGAAAATTATTGCATTAGCAGTGTACAAACCTACTACCCACCATCAAAACCCATGTCAAAAACCCATGAAAACCCATGAAAACCCAACTTCTTGGGTTCTTTTGACAGGTGTTTTCACATGGATTTAAATCAGCTAGATCACCCATCAATTTGAAAAAGGGGGAGTTCAATACGGACTCAGTCCTACTCAGTCTCCACTACCCCTTCCCCTTCCTTGCCAATTTAAAACATCCAAATAAAGCAAGCTTTTTATATCAAAGATACATCACAATTGATTTGACTTGATTCAATTTGATTTGATTCATGTTCTTCTTACATCACAATTGATCTGATTTAATTTACTTCTTGTTCTTGAATACTTTTGTTTCTTCTCTGATGTGTGTCTCTTCTATGACTATGTTCAATCCAATCAGATTAAATACATTAAATTAGCGGTGTACAAACCTACAACCCAACATGAAAACCCCTTGAAAAACCCCATGAAAACCCAACTTCTTTTTGGGTTTTTTTCATGGGTTTTTTCGATGTGTCGCCCTGGAATGGTTTGAACGCCCCAACCCCTCTCACCCCCATCACATCCTAAAATGTGCCTCGAGTCACAAGACACGGGCAGCTCCTACCATCACTTGATGCCTTGATTTTACTTCACATCGCTAGTCTTGCATCCACCACCACCAGACCTCATCCATAGCAGTACACAAACATCTCAAACCAACCTAATAAAACCTATGGCAAACCAATTGATTTTGAGTTTTTAGCGCTAAGAAATCCAAAAATCAATTGGGTTGCCATGGGTTTTATTAGGTCAGGTTGAGATGTTTGTGTACTGCTATTGGACTCACAATTTTTGGCATGTGAGCTCCAAGAATTAAGTACCTTTATGTTGTTTTTTTACTTCTCAGCTTCACCTCACCATAGAGATGGTTAAGCTTCTTGTATATCATTCTTCATGAAATGGTACATATTTTATTACCACACACACTGCACCATCAACATATTTACCTTGGATTGAAAAATCTGAGGTATCCTTGGATCCCAACCCTTAGACAGAACCTTCCTGAGGTTTGGATTGGAGGTACATAGTTATCAATGAAAAAGAATACCTTGGAACAAGCCCTCCGACAAAGTCTGTCCAAGGATTTGCCTCGGATCCATCTCAACCCAAGGCATCTATGTTGGCAGTGCTGGTGTACACTGAAAGGAAGGGTTCCAAATTTGTTATGTAATGTTGGTCATTTGCTGCTTCCAAAATTTCATTTGAGGTATTTTAGGTGGTCTTTGGTCATTTACTTGAGAACACAAGGCTTGTTTTTTGCATTTTTAACACATCACTCAAGCTGTGCAGGAGTGACTGTTGGTCATGAAACTTATATTCAGACAGCACAATCGCACGAAGAACCGCATTCTTGAAGCTTGACATTTTCTACGATGAGGTGAAGCAACAAAGTGAAAACAACAACATAAGAGGACATACTTCTTGGAGCTCACACGCCAAAAATCACGAGTCCGATGTGCCTTTTCAACCCGAGACCTCCTCATTTGCAGCGCCAGTGCTGCTTAACAAGTCCGAGGTGGTTCTTGGATGAAGTTGGTTCCAAGGAGATGTTTTTGAGTTTGGTCATCATGTCCGTCCTCAACACAGCAAAACGTAAAAGTAAGCCTCAACCATCTCGCTATGAGAGTGATGGAATGGTGATACGTAAGACCATAAGAGCGCGCGCCGTTGTAGGTATGTAGGGCGAATCAAGCTCGTCGATGAAGCACTGGTGGTCATGAAGGGCGGGATGTTTGATGAATGATGAGGTCAAGTTCTATGGACTCGAACAGACAATTGATCGTTCGTCAAAACTTTTGTCAGTGATGGTTTGAAGAGACCAATTGGGTCAAACAGGGTCACAGAAGGGAAGGAAACAAGGGAAATGTTCAACTTGTTTTAAGGCTGCGGAGTGTTTTGAGTGTCAAAGTGATTTTCCTGTATTTCAACAGAAAACCTTTTGCTTCGGACTGTATTGACTCACTTCTTCAGCTCCACACTTTCAGATTTGGATGAACTTTAAAGTTTTTCAACAATCGAACACTTCACTAGCAATCCTACCTCACGATTCGAACATTCTAATATCATTCGATTAACTTACACCATCAACTCAGCCAACACTTCGAATTAAGAAACCATGGGAGGATCAAAGACTCCACCTACACCTACTTCTCCTAAAGGAATCCCATCACAAGTTAAGCAACACAATCAGAACTTCATTAAAAACATCAATATTCATGATTTCTTTTTTATTAGGTTAATCAAAATTTACCTTTAACAGAAGAACAAATTGAAATTTTAAAAACTTTTAGATCTGAATTAATTTCAGAAGGTCATCTTCCAGAAGGAGAAACATTAGGAACAGATGATGAAACACTAATGTAAGAACCTTCCCCCAAGAAAAACCTTATGTTTATTAAAATCATTCATTTAATTTTTAACGATTCGATGATTTTTTTTTTGGTTTCTGGTATAGACGATTCTTGAGAGCTAGAAAATTTAATTTAATTCAATCTAAACGAATGATCACACAATGTTTACAATGGAGACATCAAGTTGAAGGAATTGGAATTGATGAATTGTATAGAGATATGGACCCATTTAATTTTTCACAAAAAGAACACGTTTTTAAACATTGGCCAATGTATTATCATCGAGTAAGTATAATCCTTCACACAACAAAATCATTCATCTTATTGACCATCTTTGGTTTCTGTTTTAATAAAGACAGATAAGATTGGACGACCAATCAGTATTCAAAGATTCGGTTCACTTGATCTAAATAAATTATATTCAGTAGTAGATAAAGAATCTCATTTTAGATCGATTATTGTGAATTGTGAAGCACTCACACGAGAAGTTTTACCGGCTTGTACTTACAAAAAACTTTTAAATGAATATCCTTCATCAGAAGTTCCTAAAGAATTTCCTCCGGAGTTTGTTAAGGTCACTAATGCGTTTTGTATTGTTGATCTTAAAGGCTTTACTCTTAGTCAATTCTGGCAAGTAAGTTTCTTTTCGTTCAATTTGGATGGATTCTAGAGTACCTTGGATACGTGATATATGATTTCTCATTGGTTTTTACTTTTTGGTTTGGTAGATTAAAAGTATTGCTAGGATTTGTTTTGGTATCTCTCAAGATTATTATCCAGAAACGTAAGCCGAGCTCTCTTAAATCTCAACAAAAGAAACCATTCAAGTTGATCACAATCCATTTTCTCGAATAATAAAACACAGAATGGGATATTTAGCCATCATAAATGCACCCTACACATTTGCCACGATCTTTAAAGCGATTCAACCATGGTTATCAAAAGAAACGATTTCGAAAATCAATATTTTAGGTGATAATTATATTTCAACATTACTTGAACATATAGAAGAAGAAGATTTACCAAGTTATTTAGGTGGTAAATGTGATTGTGATCCAAAAGATTTAGGTAATTGTGAAAAGAATGATATTGGATTTGAGAAATCACCTTGGTTAAAGTTTAGGGATTGGAAACAACAAAGTTGGTTAAAATTTAATCTAAATGATCAACATTCCACCAATAAGAAAGATTCGAGTGAAATCGAAAGACCGATACAGAAAACTAAGAAAGAAGAAGAAGATGAGGTTCAGTTGGATGGAGAAATGACACAGGATGGTGCTTTGATTGTGAATACGAATAAAAAATCACATGAAACTGTGGGTTCTAATCCAAAACCGGTGACTCCACCGAGAGTTGAACCAAATACAAATACAATCACCAAGCCTGAAGGTCCTAATTCGATTCATCTTCCTGCTTCTACTGGATCTACTAATGATACAGTCAACGGAAATGAAACTTCTACTGGGTCACTGTTTACTGCCAAATCTGATCTTCCTTCTTCTTCAGAAGAATCAAAACCTTGAGAAATTACTTTTTGGGGCTTTCTTTTTGAATGATTTTGTTTTATTAACATTTTTTTGTTTCGTTTTTGTTTTCTTTGTAATGATTGAAGAAAACTTTTCAACTCGTTTATTTTAGACATTTTTTTACTTTTTTTTGATGTTCTTTTCTTAAGGTTAAGAAGGTTAGGTTAAATTGTGAATGTGTAGATTTTTCTTTTGAACTCTTTCTTCTCTCTTTTTATCCATACCATGAACATTTATATTAAGAAAAAAAGATTATATAAGAGTTACTATTCTGATTTTGTTTAATTTTACTATTAGTGAAGGGTGTTATTGTCATGTTTTTTTTCATATCGATTTTGATTTTTTTTGTTGAGTTTTTTTGATTCAACTTTTTCTTGTTTGTGCAATCAAAGTCTTTGTAGCTTTTTGATATACATATATACATTGATGATGAAAATAAGGATGAACAGTGAAGGTGGTAAAGATAAGGGTGATTTATCTGTGACGGTTTTTAAAGAGTGTTTGAGGATTTACATGGTCTGTTTAGAAAGTTTGATATTTCATAGGAAAATGGATGGAGGCATCTCACATGACAGCTATGCAGAGTGATGGTTCAAACATTGCCGCTCGGAAATTGATATGTTATCTGTTACAATTTGAGTCAGACCTGTTAAAGGTGATGTATGCTAGTTTGCAAAAAGACGTCAACATGCCAAACCAGGCTTGTGGACGTGGCCGTAGTGAATGGTATGAAGCTGAGGTCCAACTTGAAAATCGCGGGCGGAGAAAAATTGCAGTGCTGTCTAACATAATTCCAAGGCAATCATGCCCTGTTACAAAGCCAGACCTGTTGAAGGGGATGTATCCTTTTGGTGAGCGCTTGCGCAAAAGGAGCAGAGTCTGAAAATGGATGGTAACATTCCGAACCAGGCTTGAGGATGTGGCCGCTGTGAAGATATAAAGCTGACACTGAGGTCCAACTTAAAAATTGGGTGGGGAGAAGATACCAATCGTCTGACCTGTTTGAGAGATACCCGTTGAATATTGTAAAAAGCTTTGTTATTGAGTGTGCCACATGCTTCACAAAGCACAGTTCCAACTGCAGCAAGACACAAAACTGGCAGAGCCATATAAAAAAGAGTACATGAATCTTTGGCACATAAATGGGCTGAGAATAAGTCCAAATTCTTTCCATAGTCTCAACTTTCCTTCATTTTTTTCTTCTGTGGCAAACTTAAGCCTTGCAAGATTTGAATTACCCTAGAATCCATTTAGTAGTGTTATCCATGTCTTCTTCCAAGATGGCAAAGTGCTTCTGGTTTATCTTGATCCAGCCCTTACTGCAGCCAAGTATCTATACTCCTTTAGTTCATGGTATGGAGATTAAATCCATGGAGGCGTCTGTTTCAGGGACTGCAGATATTCCAGAAAGCAGTGAGTCATCACATCTCAAAAAACCCATTCCAAGAGGTGTTAACTGATCTTCAAAATTGAATTATTTTTGTACAGTTGAATGGGAGAAAGCAAGAGACATAAGACAACAGCTTGATGACGGAAAATTTTGCAATATACACTATTTGACTGATCAACAATGTCAGTATGTTGACACATTTTGGGATGGATGTGAGTAATCTAAAATGCTTCAAGAATAGAATATGCATGATACATGATCAGAAAGAATCTGATTCAGACTAATTTTAACTGCCAGATTTTGCCAGCCTCAAAGAGGATGCAAAAGATCAAGAGACTGTTTTGGATTCGTCAACGGCAGAGGCAAGGGAATTTTTGAAAAAACATCCACCAAAGAAACCAGAACTGGGAAAGAGAAAAGGCCAGGCAAAGAGTATTGATAATGATAGTATTGAGATTGCATGGAGTGGGCTGAAAGAAAAGGCTTTGTTTTTACAGGAACAACAAACTTGTGAGTAGTCCGAGAGCTTCCCAGAGGAGCTCATCTGACCTCATTTTCCCTCCCAGACATATCCAAACATGCTTTGAAGTGTCCCGGAGATTTTGTAATAGCAACAAATGAGTTACTTCTAACAGGAAAGGATAAGTGGGAAGTTATGATCAAAGATATGATAGGTAGAATCAACTCTGTGGAAAGCCCCCTTCCATACTTGCAAATTCTAAGAGAAATTGCTTCCACACAAGATATAACACCCAAGGTGCGCCAAGCTATTGAAGCCTATGCAATAAAGGTGAAAGGCACAGCACCTTTTCCATTTGGAATTCAAAAATGGTTTTTAAAATTGGGAAACACAGTCTAATGTTCCATAACGCTTTGTCAAGAGCTGGTGTTGTATATTTGTAAATTCTTGATCATCAGGCTCTAGATTATCATGCAGAGCTTCCTGTATTGGTAGAGTATAGGATGTGGAGTTTGTAGCTCTATGTTGTAGTCCCTTTTCTCTTTATTCCTTTGTCTGGAGGATCTCTTTTCTCTCTCCCCCTTATGGTGTTTTTCTCATGTTCATATATTGCAGTACAGGTCCAACTGTCCTTGAAGATCCTATTTTCCCTCTTTCTGTATCTTGATGCCTCTCTTGGGTTGATGAATGGTGGTACAGGGTTTTTCTGAACATGGCCTTGGCACTGTTTTCAGCTGCTACGGAAAAATCAGAATTAGGAAAGTTTTCCATATCACTCAATCTTTCACTTGCCTCCATGCTATTGTGGCTTTCCTGCAAAGCATCCTGGAAAAAAACTTACACACATGCTTTGGAAACATCATTAAATTAGTTGTGACAACTTCATAACATTCTTGGTGTCATCTGCTTTGCTCAATTGCTAGACAGCAAAGTGCTTGGACCCAAGGACAGCAGCGAACATTGACAAAACCACAACAAGATAAGCAAGACTAGTGTAAGGATGCAATGAGGGGTAAATCACCATAACATGGATTTCAAAGCATTGCCAGTGGCTCTTTTGTCAAGCAACATAAAGAACCGGAATCTCTGGACTACAAAGTCTCTCTCATTGGAATGTGTGGGTATCTATGAGCGCTTGTACAAAAAGTACAAAGTTTACAAATATACGGCAACATGCCAAACCAGGATTGTGGATGTGGCTGGATGGTATGAAGCCGAGGTCCAACTTGAGAATTGTGTGCAGAGAAAAAATGCAGTGCCGAATGATAGGATTCAAGATGATGATACCCTGTGACGGAGACAGACCTGTTGAAGGGGATGTATTTTTTCTGTGAGTGCATGTGCAAAAATAGCAAAGTTTGGAAATAGATAGGAACATGCCAAACCAGGCTTGTGTGTGGTTTTGGTGGATGGTACAAAGCTGAGATCCAGCTTGAAAATCATATGCAAAGAAAAATTGCAGTATTCAAAAGCGCTGATGCCCTGTTATGGATCCAGACCTGTTGAAGGGGATATGTCCTATCTGTGGGCGCTTGTGCACAAAGTGCAAAGTTTGGAAATAGATGGCAACATTCCAAACCAGGCTTGTGGATGTGGCTGCAGTGGAAGATATGAAGCTGGAGTCCAACTTCAAAATGAGGTGGGGAGAAGATACCAATCATCTGACCTATTTGAGATATACCCTACAAATATTGCAAAGAATCTTTGTTATTGAGTGTGACACATGCTATACCAAACGTAGCTCCAACTGCAGCAAGACACATAACTGGCGGGGACATATAAAAAAGGAGGATATGATTCTTTGGCATATAAATTGGCTGAAGATAAGTCCAAATTCTTCCCCTTGTCTCAACTTTCCTTCATTTTTTCCTCCTGTGGCAAACATAAGCCTTGCAAGATTCAAGAGACCTTATACATTAAGTAGTGTTATCCATGTCTTTTTCCAAAATGGCAAAGTGCTTCTGGTTTATCTTGATGCACCCAATACTCCATCCAAGTATCTATACTCCGTTAGTTCATGGTATGGAGATCAAATCTATTGAGGCGTCTGTTTCAGGGACCACAGATGTCCCAGAAAGTGGTGAGTGATCACATATCTAGGCATAACCCATTCCAAGAGGTGTTGACTGATCTTCAACATTGAATTAATTCCAAACAGCTGAATGGGCAAAAGCAAGAAACATAAGACAACAGCTCGCTGACGGAAAATTTTGCAATGTACAACAATTGACAGATCGACAATGTCAGTATGTTGACACATTTTGGGAAGGATGTGAGTAATCTAGAAGGTTTCAAGAATAATCATCATACATGATGAGAGAGAATCTGATTCAGACTGATTTCACCTGCCAGATTTTGCCCGCCTCAAACAGGATTCAACAGATCAAGAGCTTGTTATAGCATCGGCAATGGAACAGGCAATCGAATTTTTGAAAAAGCATCCACCAAAGAGACCGGCGAAAAACCGGGCAGATAGTATTGATAATGATGGGGTGGAGATTGAACGGAGTAGACTGAAAGAACAGGCTTTCTTCTTAAAGAAACAACAAGCTTGTGAGTAGTCCAAGAGTTTTGCAGAGGAGATATGATCAAAGAACTCAGAGGAGCGCATCCGACCTCATTTTCACTTCCAGACAGACATGATCATTTTTTAATGTGCCCGGAAGATTTTGTAATAGCAACAAACGAGTTACTTTTGACAGACAAGGATAAGTGGGAAGATATGGTGGAAGATATGATAGGTAAAATTGACCCTGCAGAGGTTCCCCTTCCATATTTGCAAATCTTAAGAGAAATTGCTTTCACACAAGATATAACACCTGAGGTGCGGGAAGCCATTGAAGCCTATGCAATCGTGATGAAAGGCACAGCGCCTTTTCCATTTGGAATTCAAAGATGGTTTGTAAAATTGGAAAACTAGAAGAACTCAGTCTAATGTCTCGTTACTCTTTGTTAAGAGCTGGTGTTGTATTTGTAAATTCTTGATCATCATGCTCTAGATGATCATACTTAGAGCTTCCTGACATGGTGTAGTAGAGAGTACAGACATACATGGAGTTCATAGCTTCAAGTTCTAGTCCCTTTCTTCTGTATTTCTTTGTGTCGAAGATCTTCTCTCTCTCCCTTTTGGTGTTTTTCTCAGCTTCATACATTGTGGTGCAGGTGCAAGCTCTTCTTGGGTCGATCAATGCTACCATAAGGCTTATGTGACCGGTTGCGTAGCCATACCTGTCAAAGGTGATGTAGCCTGGGTGTGAGCGCTTGTTCAAAAAGTACAAAGTTTACTATGACGGCAGTGAATGATATGAAACGGTGAGGTCCGACTTGAAAATCACGGGCGGAGAAAAATTGCAGTGCTGTCTAACAGAATTCAAAAGCAATCATGCCCTGTTACAAAACCAGACTTGTTGAAGGGGATGTATCCTTTCCGTGAGCGCTTGTGCAAAAATAGCAAAGTTTGGAATAGATGACAACATGACAAACCAGGCCTGTGGGTCAGGTGTGGCCACTGGGAAAGATATAAAGCTGAAATTCAACTTCAAAAACAGGTAAGGAGAATATACCAATCATCCTACATATTTTGAGAGATACCCTTCAGATATTGCAAAAAAGCTTTGTGATTGAGTGTGCCACATGTTTCACAAAGCGCCGCTCCGAGTCCAACTGCAGCAAGACACAAAACTGGCAGAGTAGTACATATGAAAAAAAGAGTATATGAATCTTTTGGCATATCAAATTGAAATGGGGTGAGAATAAGTTCAAATTCTTTCCCTTATCTCAACTTATCTTCATTTTTTCCTTCTGTGGCAAACTTAATCATCGCAAGATTTTAAATACCTTACCCACTAAGTATTGTTATATATCCATGTCTTTTTCCAAAATGAAGAAGTGCTTCCGGTTTATCTTGATCCAGCCAATACTTCAGCCAAGTACCTATACTCCTTTAGTTCATGGTATGAATATCAGATCCATTGAGGCGTCTGTTTCAGGGACCGCAGATATCCCAGAAAGTGGTGAGTGATCACATCTCTAAACATTTCCATTTCAAGAGTTGTTGAATAATCTTGAACATTGATATATTTTCAAACAGTTGAATGGGAGAAAGCAACAAACATAAGACAACAGCTTGCTGACGGAAAATTTCGCAATATACACTATTTGACTGATCAACAATGTCAGTATGTTGACACATTTTGGGAAGGATGTGAGTAATCTAAAAAGCGTCAACAATAACCATGATACATGATCGCAGAGAATCTGATCCAGGCTAATTTTACCTGCCAGATTTTGCCAGACTCGAAGATGATACAAAAGATCAAGAGGCTGTTATGGATTCGACAATGGAACAGGTAAGGTTATTTTTGACAGAACATCCACCAAAGAGACCAGAAATGGGAAAGACAGAAGGCCAAGCAGAGAGTATCAATGATGATAGTGTTGAGATCCAACGGAGTAGGCTGAAAGAAAAGGCTTTGTTTTTAAAGGAACAACAAGCTTGTGAGTAGTCTGAGAGCTTCTCAGAGAAGATAAGATCCAAGAACTCAAAGGAGCTGATCCGACCTCATTATTCCTTCCAGACATAGCTAAACATTATTTAAAGTGTCCTGAAGATTTTGTAATAGCAACAAATGAGTTACTTTTAACAGGAAAGCATAAGTGGGAAGATATGATCAAAGATATGATAGGTAGAATCAACTCTGCAGAAAGCCCCCTTCCATATTTGCAAATCTTAAGAGGAATCGCTTTCACACAAGATATAACACCCAAAGTGCGCCAAGCCATTGAAGCCTATGTGATAAAGATGAGAGGCACAGCACCTTTTCCATTTGGAATTCAAAGATGGTTTTTAAAATTGGAAAACACAGTCTAATATGCTATGATCCTTTGTTAAGAGCTGGTGTTGTATCTTTGTAAATTCTTGATCATCAGGCTCTGAATTATCACGCAGAGCTTCCTGTAATGGTAGAGTATAGAGTACAGGTGTACATGGAGTTTATAGCTTTAACTAGTTCTACTCCCTTTTCTGTTTATTGTTTTGTCTAGAGGATCTCTTCCCTCTCTCCCTTTTGGTGTTTTTCTCAGCTTTATATATTGTGATGCAGGTCCAACTGGCCTTGATGGTCCCATTTTCCCTCTATCTGTATCTTGGTGCCTTTCTTGGGTTGATCCATGGTGGTAGAGGGTTTTCTTGAATACAAACTTGGAAAAATCTACTTCTGATGTCAGCTAAAAAGATATCAAAATCAGTTATAAAGGTTTCTATATCACTCAATCTTCCATTTGTCTCCATGCTGTTGTCACTATCCAGCAAAGAGTTCAGGGAAAATTCCTACACATATGTTTTGAAAATATTATTAAATCAGTTGTGACAACTTCCTAATCACAAGGATCAAAAAAACCCTTCTCACTCACACATTTTGGCAATTTGACCAAAAATTTGGAAACTTATGATTGAAGATTGGTGAACCTTGCCCATTTGGTGGCCCCTTGATAATGTGCACACCTAAATCGACTTTCAGGCAGAAATGAGGCAGTCAGCATATGCACACAATGAAAATACCTTTTTTGAGATTTATGGATTTCATCAGAAATGGTGGATGGAGTCAAGTGGAGATGGTTAAAGAGATAAGAAATCAATGCAACAACAGATGAAGCAAAACATTTGAAGGAGCTGTATATTGGAACCATGACTTCCATCATCAATATCTGGTTTGATAAATCTGTTTTTACTTCTCTTGAATATTTTGTAGCTCAAAAGCTAAATTATGAGTTCTTGAGGTGGTAGAATTGATTGACATCCCAAAGATTATCCAAGTTAACTGAGTTCCTCCTCAAACCACACATGATGTCCTTCAGAGCTTGTTGTGTAACATGTCTGTGGTTGGCAGATCATGTGACAAGCTACAAAGATTATTGGGCATTGTAATCAAAATGATTTGGGATTTTAATAATAACCTTGGTATAAACCCAGCAATTAGCAAACTCAAAGTTGATGAAAATTGAATACCAAAAAGTTCAAATTCTACTGGATCAACAAAATCTACATACATGGTACAAGAGAGAGAGGTTTCATGAGGAGACTACTTCTAATACATCTTCCTCTGACTTCTTACATTTACTTGAATCCATCCATATCCTGTAATGGCAAACAAAAGAGTTGACTGTAACTTTGAAATGTGTGTGAAATCTTTGAGACTTTGACATCTGGCTTCTTCAAGTCTATACATCCTTTGACCCAACTGATCAACTCATACCTCAGCTGAAAATATGTCCTTAAACCAGCAAGGGACTTACATCCAAAGTTGAAAAAATGATATGACACTGGTCAAATGATTCAACAACTGGTCTTCAGTGGTTGTGGAGGTACTTGGAAAAGATACTTTTTTGAATACTAACAAGATAAGCCTGATGTTCCATACACTCATCAATCCAAATGACTTTAATATACAAATTTGAACCATGAAAGACTTGAAAAATCCCCTTCCAATCTCATATTGTTTTTTAGCCATTTGCTGTGACAGCTGGTATGTATGGTCCAGCAAGATGACTCAGTTGAATTTGGTGATGAAGGTGAATAGAGGGACTTAGTTAAGGTTGATTCTGGCCCGTCTCAAGGCCTCGGGCTGACTTGGTTGCCTAGTGACACCCGGGTCGCTACGGGGCATGACCTGGCCCCAGCTCCTGCCTTGAAGAACCCATGAACAAAGCCGGGCTTCCGTCGGACATCTCAAAGTACACCCGAGCCCCACGGTGTGTACGGTACAGAAGTGGACTTGATGATGAGCCAGGAATCCAGGATGGCGCCAGAAAATCATGTCCTCAGGATTATCAAAGTATAATTTCTGGCGTTCCCGCGAAAAACGTGCTCTGAAGCTCTAGACCACTAATCTAATATGATTTACAACTACATATAGAATTAGAAGGACGAACGTGGCTTTGAATTTGAGACTAGGGAGTCGGATGAATTCCAAAGCGAAGGCGAGCGAGCGATGATGCGAAGAGACCAAGCGTGCTTTCGAGCGTTCCTACTTTGGAAAAGAAGATGACTCGGGAAAAAGATGAGAGACGAGAAGCTCAAACGATGAGGGGAAAAGAGATGATTACACATTGTAGAGTAGAGATGAAGAGAGAGAGAGAAGGATCGAAGTGATAATTGAACTTCGATCGTTTTAGTGACCAATCTCTAATTTCTTTCTTTGATGAAGGTTGTACTATGAAATCATCGCCAAGGAGCAAGAGATTGATGAGAAAGAATGAAGAACCTAAAGCTGACTAAGCAAGAAGAGATGAAGACTAAGTTTATCGATCAACCAGCAAAAGGAGACTTTCTGTTACAATCGAGTTCGAAGTGAAGACAAATTTAGAAAACTAGCTATTCAAAACAAAGAAAGATTTGATTTTACTACTTTTTAAAGAATCGAATAAGAATCGATTCTTTAACTTGAAACCTTCACAAAAGAATTACCATTTACAACTAAATCAGTTCATCAAACATTTAAGAAGTCAACTTGACTTTCTTTCTTTCTTTCTTTCTTTCTTAAACTGGCTTGAGGTCAGCTATACATATCACATCCATTTTGATTTCTTCACATACATACCATCTTTAAAACTGTTCTTGACTTTTTAGTACTGATTCAGAATCAGATCTTAAAACGGTTTGCAAAAAAACTAGCAAAATCTTCAGATACAATCTCACTCACATATCAAAGTAGTCTAGACTTTGACCATCGATTTTTCTTTTATCCTCAAGCTCAGAAATCAGAATAGCAAGCAATCTGAAATTGATTCAAGTTTTCAATATCGGTAAATCTTGAAAAATCATCTTTACACCAACACAAGAACCAAGCTACTTCAAGATCCAGTGTAAGTGATTTCGATTCGGTTTTCCTTCAAGTCACTATTCACCCCGCATCAACCAGGATTAGAATGAATCTTCAAATTGATAGAGATGATAGTTTTATGTACACATCATCGAACTTCAGTATAAACACAACCCAATCAGTCTACATACTTCATCCTTACCCTCATCACCGTGGGCTACCCTAGTGATGGAAGAGTTCTACATTGACTGCAGATTGATGATTTTAACGATAGGCGAAATGTAGTTGATTTTACATAATATGCTTACGCCTTTGCTTCTTCTACTTCTTTACCTGACAGTTTTTAGCTACAAGCTACAAACCTAGGTGTATAAACTTGACAAACTATTCAAGATCGAGTAAGTCAAGATTCTTCATCATTTCTATGTGGGTCATTCTACTTATAATTTTTCTTGACCTCTGCTTTTCTTTTCGAATCCCATTGTGATCTTTTGGTCAGCTCTTCAAGGTTTGTTCTAGTTGATCAAGTTTACTTGCTCGGTAAGGTCGGCTGCTAGTTTTCTACACTTGTCGTGCTGTGCAGTCAGTTCAATTCTTTTATTCTCTACATACTTGGCATTCGTGAAGCCGAGGACTTTAGAACTTTGGTGTTAAAGAGTAGAAGTCGATTCTAACATTTTCGAGTAGTACATAACTAACTGATGATCTATATCTGTTTCTGTTTCTGTTTCTGGTTCGTTCTTGTGGCACCTTGACCTACCTGCTATACGGTGTGTATGAGTATGTAGTGATCAGATTCAACAAGTTGATTTCTATTTTCAAAGGCTGATCAAGATAGAAAAGCTTGAAGAAACTCAAAGAAACCTTCTTGGCTCATGATCTCAAGCTTTTACGAAAATTAATTTAACCAAGTCAGTCTTGATCTTTCAGTCTTCCCTTCAGCTTCAGTTACTCGGACGATTTCTTTTCATCCAAAACCTTTTTCAATCTAATCCTCTTATGTCATTCTTCATTCAACTGAAACTCTTCTGGACTTAAGTTAACACCTCATACAACAACCGTCTCTTTTTTTTTCGGATTCAACCAACTCTCTCCTTAATACGAACCGGTTCAATTCAAAACTATCCTCAACCTCCTTCCGAACCGCCTCCTTTCATCATCAGTCATCATCATCAGTCATCATCATCATCCCGTTTTCTCCTAGCTCTTCGCATTTCACCATTCTCAACATCTTTTCGATTCGGCTCTTCCAATCTTCCTCGGTTTCGTTTCAACCTACTCATCAATGTCACACGATCCCAATCGGCCAACTAGGCCTAATCCTCCTACTTTTCCTTCCTTTTCTCAACGTGGTTCTCCAGTTCGCAATCAGAGCGTCGATTCAGACATTCCTTCAGATCCAGTCAAAGTCAGTTTCTAATTTGATCATGCCTCTTTAATGGTCTTTGCTATCTTATTACGCATCACTAACTTAACTACGTAATTTCAATCCTCAATTTCTCCCTGTCATTTCGAAAATTTACTCAAACACGTGAATGCAAACATTCAAAGGTTAATTTTGGGTCATCACCAACACATTCAGATCCATCACTTCCGATTTTACCCAAAGATGAAGAATTCCAACCCACTCGACATCCTCATGCAGTCCGCTTCGGTCCATCTGCAGGTCCATCTGATCCACATTCTACTTCCGGTCGTGCTCATGATGGTCAATACGGTGCCAATCCAGAGATGCGTCGAAAGAAATCTCTAGTCCGACCTGATCGAGCACCAGTTGATCCATCTCATCGACTTTACAATTATCGAAACCATGCTGCTGCCATGCAAGCTGATGAACGTGGTCGAGTAGGATTGAGTAAGACTGGTACAGCAGCGGTAGATGGCTCAGTAGCACTTGTCAATCAGACTCCAGCGTACGATCTTCCTCGTCGAGCAGACCCTCGTTCATATTTTTCAGATCCCGAGATTGAAGAAAATGATGATTCAACACATCGACATCCTCGTGGACCCGGATTGATGGCTGCTCTCGGTCGTACTGCTCCTCCTCAAGCACGTCATCCGAACGGTCAGTCTGGATTCGGTAATGGAGCTGAAGGTCTCAAACGTGGTAAAAGTTTGTTGGCTCGTCGACCTGGTGAAGCAGAAGAATCAGGTCTGTCGATTCTCAAACGCGGTGAGACATTACGGAGGAGAGTCAATAAGAGAAAGATGTCAGATACCGATACAGTGGCTATGGTAAGTGTTGACATTCAAAGATTTCAGCCAATCTGATGCAAAGAAACTGTTCTGACAATTAGTTGATTGTCAAATTTTTGAAAATAGAACATACCAGTCAAAAAGCCAGTTGAACCTTGGCCAATCTATTGCAGAGTAGTCACTTGTTGCTTTCCATTATTCGTATTATCATGCTTTGGTATCAAAACTCCAGAAAGAGCTGCAGCCTGGAGAGAGAAAATGGGAATTCTCTTCCTCATCTTTACTTTAATGGCTGGTGTTGCCTTTCTTACCTTTGGTTTTACACAAGTCAGTCTCTTTTTGTCCCAAAAAAAGACATTGCAGAAACTCATTATAAGGCTTATGTCTTTTGACTCTAGGTTGTTTGTGGGAAGCCGCCACTGAGATATCATTCAGGAAATTTAGAAGGAGGTATGATGATCTTTCATGGTGAAACATATGATCTGAATAGTTTTCAACATGTTGGAGCTCCTGGAATAGCAGCTGGTGATAATCCTTTATATAGCACATTCAATGCGGGTGGTCAAGATGGAAGCTTTCTATTTCAAAGAGTTAACCTGAATTGTAAAGGTATCATTACGGCGGCTTCTGGTACTGGGATTCCTGTGGACAAAGATGGAAACTTGGGGTGGTATTTTCCTTGTAATCTTTATAATCAGTTTGGTACAAGTCCTGTGAACAAGACGGTAAGTCACTTGATCTTTTTTTCTACACAAGTGTTCAAATTTGTCTGACCCTATATTTTATTTTGCGGTGTGGCATTACTAGGGATACGCTCAAGGTCAATTATGTCATACCCAAAACGATGCTCGAAGTGCTTTCATCAAACTGCATCCATTAGGACAAGTTTATTACACATGGAACGATTTACGCAACTCGAGTCGAAATTTAGCTGTCTATGATTCAGCTGTTTTAGATTTAAGTTTATTGAATTGGTTGGATAAATCTCAAGTGACTTATCCATCTGTATTTGATGATTTAAGAGTGGTGAACAATAGCTTTAGTGGTCAAGATATCACCATGCAACTCGTTCGGACAGGTGGTAAAGCCTTAGGATCTTGTTTGACGGATACCATTCAAGTTGGTTATATCGATACCAATACATTAGGATGTGTTGCTTCTACTGTGGTTCTTTATGCTTCATTGGTGGTCATTATCGGTGTAGTCTTGATCAAATGGGCCATGGCAGTTTCCTTTGCTTGGTTTTTCGGATGGAGACTTGGATCTTTTGGTAAGGAAACTGCCGAACAACGAGCTGAACGAGCTGCTGCGATTGAAAGTTGGACCGATGATATCTATCGTCCTGCGCCTGCTCGATACCGGCCGAATGCGAAGAACGGAAAACGTAGTATCTTACCCAATACCAGTCGATTTACTATGGCCGGAAAACCTAGCGGTGGAGGTGGAGGTGGTCTCAATGGCGGTGGTGGTGCTAGGCCGATGAGTACTTATGTTGGCGAGATGAATAGGAAGAGTATGGCTTTTACTAAAGGCATGCTCGCTGTGCCAGGCATGAAGAATTCACCACCAACCTCACCAGGCGCGAATGGAGCGATCAAACCGTCACATAGTGCTAGTTCTTTACCTCTTGGCTCGCAAAGATCATCTTACATGATGGGAGGGGGTGCAGGGGGTGGTGGAAGTACAGAAGGAGGCTCAACTCAACCTCCTGGATGTCCTTTCCCACTTTACAATGTGATACCTCAACCACCACCGGATTACGAACCTTTCAATTTCCCGTTGGTTCACACTATTTGCCTGGTGACAGCTTACTCGGAATCTATTGAAGGTCTTCGTACAACACTTGATTCACTTGCAACAACAGATTATCCCAATTCACATAAATTTATCCTTGTCATCGCAGATGGGAAAGTCAAAGGTTCAGGTAACGATATGAGCACGCCTGAAATTTGCTTAACCATGATGAAAGAACTTTTGATACCAGCTGAAGATGTAGAAGGATTAAGTTATGTTGCCATTGCTGATGGTCACAAACGTCATAATATGGCTAAAGTTTATGCAGGATTTTATTCGTATGATAATAATACAGTAGAAGTCAATAAACAACAAAGGGTACCGATGATCTTGATTGCTAAAGTAGGTAATCCAGATGAACAACATGAATCTAAACCGGGTAATCGAGGTAAAAGAGATTCACAAGTCTTGTTGATGAGCTTTTTACAAAAAGTGATGTTTGATGAACGAATGAATGAATTTGATTATGAGTTCTTTAATTCGATATGGAGAATCACCGGTGTTAGTCCTGATCATTATGAGATTTGTTTGATGGTGGATGCAGATACTAAAGGTGAGTGAAAGTGTTTCAAGTTTGGATTTGTTGATCAGATCATTGACTTGATTTATTCTTTTCTCATTCAAATAGTCTTTCCGGATTCGGTTTCTCGTATGGCAGCTTGTATGGTTAGAGATTCTGAGATCATGGGCTTATGTGGAGAAACCAAGATTGCAAACAAGGGTGATAGTTGGGTGACCATGATACAAGGTAAATCCGACTTCTTTTCCTCAGCGTGATGTGTTCGAAAACTTACTGACGTGTATGTTTGAAAATCGATAGTGTTTGAATATTACATTTCTCATCATCTTCAAAAATCTTTTGAGTCAATGTTTGGTGGTGTGACTTGTTTACCTGGATGTTTCTCAATGTATCGAATCAAAGCACCAAAAGGAGGTGATGGATACTGGGTCCCGATCTTAGCCAATCCTGACATTGTCGAACATTATTCAGAGAACGTAGTCGAAAGTTTACATGCGAAGAATTTATTATTACTCGGAGAAGATCGATTCCTGACCACCTTGATGTTGAAGACTTTCCCGAAACGAAAGATGATGTTTTGTCCTCAAGCAGTATGTAAGACGATCGTACCTGATACCTTTCGAATTTTGATTTCTCAACGTCGTAGATGGATCAATTCAACTATTCATAATCTGTTTGAATTGCTATTTGTCAGAGATCTTTGTGGTACATTTTGTTTTTCGATGCAGTTTGTGATTGGGATGGAATTGGTTGGAACCTTGGTTTTACCGGCTGCTATTGCGTTCACTGGCTATATTCTTATCCTTACCATCATTCCTGGTACTGAAAAACCTATCGTCTCATTGATCTTGCTAGCCTTCATCCTCGGTTTACCTGGTCTACTGATCGTCATCACGTCTAGAAGGATAGCCTATGTGGGATGGATGATCATCTATCTTTTCTCACTACCTATCTGGAACGCTGTCTTACCTACTTATGCTTACTTTCATATGGACGATTTCACATGGGGTGAGACAAGGAAGATTGAAGGTGCAAAGGAAAAGGCTCATGGTGATAAAGAAGGAGAATTCGATTCATCTCATATCACAATGAAACGTTGGGCTGAATTCGAGCGTGAGCGAAGATGGAAATTAGATTCGGCTACTGCTTCCATTCGTGATCATTTGGCTTCTGCTGATCTAACACAACAGTATCCGTTTCACCAAAACGCTGGTATGATGGCTACACGATCGGGTTCACCTCTTTTCGTTGGAGCTGGTCATATGAATCACTCAAGGCGTTATAGTCTGAATAGTAGTGTTGAGAATTGGAGTACAACCACAGGAAATGATATGGTAGGACCAGGTAGACCGGGAGGAGTACAAGAATTATCATTACCACAACCTTTAGCAAGAGAAGAAGCGAATACGAATTTTGGAAATGGGCGAAATCTAGGATATGGATCATCACAACCATCTGGCCCGACTCATCCTTCATTACATCAACTTAGTATGAATTATAGAAATGCAATGGAACCAGAAGAAGGTGATCAACCGAATTCAGCAGCACATGATCATGGATTCTTTAGTCCACCTTATCTTGGATCTAAATCTTCTAATCAATCTAATCCAACTAAAAGTTCATTGGGTAAGATTAATACTTCGTTTGTGAATCGAGGAGGTATAGGAAGTGGTGAGGAGGGTAGTAGTCGTAGTAGTAGTTTAGGTGGAGCAGATGAGTTTTCACATTTGTTTCAAGATCATAACATTGGTGGAAGAAAAGGAGTCAGTTTAGCTGGTAAGTTGAATATTATCGTTTTTTTTATTCCGATTTGTGAAGTCTTTTTGATGTTTATTGAATTTGACTGGTGCTTTTTCTTTTTCTTTTGTGGAATCAGATGTAGGAGCTGTACCTGATTCCACTGGAACGATGAGAAGAGTAGATCGAAGTACAGCTACTACGAATAGTTCAAGTACAGGAACGAGTAGTCAAAGTAATTTACCATTTACTCATCATCATCATCAACCACAAGCAGCTAATAGTCAAACTGGATTACCTAAACCTCCAACGTTTTCAATGTTTAGATGAGTTTTAATATATATATTACTTGAATTGTTTTCTTTTTTTTTTGATCAGGACACTATTTTTTTTAACCAAAGAAAAGAAAGAAATGTCTTTTAAATATATATATATATATAATATTCTCTCATTCCTTTTTTTGTTTTATTTAATATCTATATATATATATGTGTGTGTGTGTTTGTGTGTGTGTGTAATACGCATTTCAATTTTAAGGTTTTTTTATATATATATCTCTCCTATTTTCCTCGCATATCTTTAAATTAATTAATTGAAATGTAGAATTTAATTAAGGTTTTTTTTTTCTTTTGCTTTTTTTTTGATTGAAAAACTTTACACTTTTTCTTTTTTCTTTGTTCTTTTTTTTTGCAATTTTGAGATTTCGATGTGCTTTTCTTTTAGGAAGAATTTGGTTTGTTTTAATTTTGAACTTTTTTTTTGTTTGTTTGTTTGTTGAGGGTTTGGTTTTTTTTTTGGTTTGAAATTTGATTTTTCATGAATAAGTAGAAAATCAAAAGAAATTTAAAACTTGTTTGTATAACTTTTTTTTTATTTAATTTTGTGTTTTTTTGGACAATTTGATATGTTTTAAGATGAATGGGGTTTTCTTTTTGAAGAAAAAGAAAAGAAAAAGTGATGCAAGGACTAGAATTGTAGATTTATTTGGGTACATTATCATAGCTGGCTTTGGTGAAAAAGTGCAAGTTTATGTAAATTGTAGAAATGGTTTGGAAAGGTCTCCAGAAATGTATGGTTTCAAAAAAAAGAAATCTTGGGAAGGTATAGTTTGGGTTCCTTGGATGAACAATGGTTGGGGGTTGGCAGATGGAAAAGCAAATGAGAGGATCATTCACAGGGGCAAAAATTGATGCTCACAACTATGTGAGCATTGAAATTTTCCTGTTTTGTTCCCATTTGTTTCCCATTTGTTTCCAATTTGTTTCCCATTTGTTTCCCTTTTCTTTCTGTTTGTCAGCTGATTATGTGATCATCAGGAACTGAGCAGACAAACTAAGCCTTCCTCAGCATTTATTCCTGAGCAAAGAAGTCTGAGGAAGTGCTGATCCATCTGCTCAGCTGATCCTGAGCGGCATTCCCTGGTTCAGTAAGCTCCAAGGGATGCCACCAATGTATAGCTTAGGGGCTCAGCTGAACTGAGTATTCCCTTAGCTAAGTCTCTGAAGTATCCCCCAGATGGATCACAGAGCGCCAAGCTTGCCTCAAGCTTCATGGCTCCGGAATGAAGCCTGAGGCCCGTCTGCTTGTTCAACTGAGCTGCTCAGTTATTCCTCAGGGGCATCCCTGAGATCAGGAGGATCCGCAGGATTTCACTGCTCAATGGATGAGGGGCTGCTCAGTTATTCCTCAGGGGCATTCCTGGCCGGATCAGAAGGATCCAAAGGATGTCACTGAGTATTGGCTGAGGGGCTGCTCAGTTGATCTCAGCCCCTCAGTGTGAAAAACTTTATCCGGGGATATCACTGAGGATTAGCTGAGCAATGAGCAGATGGGATGACGCTTTTATCAGGCTTCATTCCTTAGCAAGGAAGTCTGAGAAAAGTCCGGCCCATCAGTGATCCAGTCAGGGGATGCTACTGAGTATTTGCTGAGCAGCTCAAATGGGACGCCCCTGGGCAGGCTTCTTCACTGAAAAATGAAGCCTCAGGAAGGTATAGTTCATGTGCTCATCTTCATTTTGAACAAATTGCTGAGTATTCAGTGCCTCATGAGCTGATCCTGAGTACTCATCAGGAATCAGTTATTGCTCATCCAAGATGGAAATGAGCCTTCTCAATAAATGTCAAGTAAAATATGAGAACCACAGGATGATCACCTGAACACAAACAAGATTGTGAATTGAATCAATCTGAAAGAAAATGAATCTTTTTTGGAGAATTCCAAAAAGTCTACAACACTCACATGTATGTGAATATCTATTTTGGCCCCTGTGATTTGATTTGGTTTGGATCTGGATCTTTTGGTAGGGTAGGAATCAGGTTGCCACTGGATTGTTGTACAGCCAAGAATAATAGTTGACTCAAAAACCCAGTACACCCGGTTGCGTTTTTGGTGGTAACTTTGTGTATCTAGTGACAGCTCTTGGCAGCTTCCAGCCAAAAAGTCAACCAGGTGTACCCGGTTTTTGTGCAACCGGGTTTGGTTTAAACACGGCTAATATTGAGGGTGATGTGATAGACTTGAACTTAAGGCAAGTCATGGAAAATGAAACAAGATGTAAGGGCCCGTTTGGCTGGAAACCAAATATGGTTTTTGGCCAAATACTCCACCAAAGCCAGGCCAAATACGGTTTTTGGTTTTTGACAAAAAGACCAGCGTTTGGCAACAGTCTTTGATCAAAACCAAAAACGGTTTTTGATCAAAAAATCTTCAATTTTGAAAAACAGCCCTGAGGCTGTTTTTGAGACCAAAAAGAGTTTTTGGGCTCATTTGCCCCTCCATTTTGATTTTTTGTTGACCTATTTGGTCAACTGTTTGGCAAAGGAAAAAGCTGAATTTTGAGTTCTTCAATCTGCCCCTTTTTCAAGGGGCAGATTGAAAAATCGTTTTTGTGTAACCATTTTTTTGAAATCCAGCCAAACCGGCCCTAATAGTATATAGGTATATAATATTGTTCCTTACAAACATAATGATAGAAACTGAATACTGTAGAAAGAAGGTTCAAGGTGGTATCTGATAGTGTTACACTCTGAAGTCTGGAGTATAAAGATAATTGTTGAAGCCTGCTGATCCAGGATTCTAGACAAGGTTTTCAGATGTTGATTTGGGTATGAAGTGACTCATGAAATGATTCTTGAGTACTCATGATTTGAGAAACTGAGCAAAATTTCAAAAAATGATTGATGTTTGTACAACAAAATTTGAGCAAAACATCAACAAACTCATGTAGCCACTGTTTCCTGGTGTCCCCATCTCAAATCTTGGGGGAATATTGATGCAGCCCCCAGTTTTCCGGTGCCTTTTCTGTACACAAATATCTTAATTGCAACAAAAAATGTTCTTTCTGTCCACCAATATCCTCACCAGTGAATATCCTAACTGTAACTTAAATGGTTTTTTCCGTCCAGTTATTACAACTCAAAACATTTTTTCTGTCCAATAGCCCTGACCCAAGTGTCAGTATGTCACATACACCTTTTTTTTGACCCAGCAACCCCTCTCTGCAGCATGAGAACTGAAGCCCTCTGGAATCCAGTTTTGAGGTTCCACAGACATCTATCATACATAATCAATATGATGGGCTGATCACAATCCATCATCTTGTGATCAAAAATTATCCTTTGGACAAGAGATGGTCTGTGTGTGTCCTAAACTTGTCCAAATCTTGGGGATATAGTTGCTACTGTCAAAGGTTTATGAATTTCAGCCCAAACCGTCAAATTGGATGTTCTTGCTCAAAAATCAACATTTCAATCTCCTAAGACCATCTCCAGAATACTCAACCTGGTTGCTTTTCATCTATAGATTTTCTTGGGGATCTGATTATAACTTTGTCTTTCTGTATTTTCCTTTGCTTTTTAATCTCAAATTCAAATTTCTACTCAAAAACAATACCTGGACAATAGTGGCTCTCAAACCTGACCCAGTTTCAAAAAAACCAGTTGACCCAGTGGAATTTTTGGCTGGGAGCTGTCAACAAATGTCCACTTGATACACAAAGTTATTGCCGAAAAGTCAACTGGGTTATTGGAAACCGGGTTAGGTTTGAGAGCCACTAATCCATGGACAACTGCAGTTCAATATTTGAGAAAAGCTATATATGCACAGACATAAGACTGAGGATCTCAAATCTGCTCTCAAATGTTCAAACTGTTGAGTTTTGAGTGCAAACATTGGATTTGGCCATTTGCAGTATCTGTCTGAAAATCCCAAAAATCTCAAGCCTTTGACCAATGACAGTAGCAACCATACAGGTTTCCAGAGGTGCCCAAAAAGAATTTGGTTAAACCCTGAAAAACTAAATTGTTCAGAAAACAATACTCCTACACTCGGATAACTGTGCGACCTTGGTTGCGCGCAGGAGGGTGAATTTCAGAACTTTACGGAAAACCTAACTTTTCCGTCATATTTCAATCAGAAAAGGTACAATGAATTCAGGTTTCCAGTGGTGCAATGGTCATGCTCTAAGGAGGTATTTGGTATTTGAAACTGTACAATGTAATGCATCAAGTTTGTGCCTCTCATGCCACCTGCAAAGAAATCCACCCATGGGCTGGGCCCTCAGCTTCTGGCGCCGCCCTTTTCTGCAGCTGCAGAACTTGGAGTCGTGCCCACCATATGGCACAACACTGGCAGATAAGAAAAACCATTCACCTAGGTTTAGTTGGCCTCTCTTGTGTAAAAAGTTGAGTGTTACAATTTGAGATAAGATATGAATGTATCAAATTTTTCAAAAACATCAATGATTGCATCTACAATAGAACTGTCCTTTTCAGAATGTAAGGTAGAGAAGAATTACACCACTATCACAAAGACCATGACTGGATGAAGAGACTGTTCTGTTCATTTCTGTGAAACTAGACAATAGCAAAAAAAATCAAAGTACTATGATATGATTGATCTTAGTCCATCAGATAACCAAAAGCAATTTATTGATGAGACAAAATATCAGGAAGACTGTCCACTTTGAATGTTTGATTGAAGTAGTTTTAGATCATTGAAACTCAACAACAAAGATCAGACATGGTTGATTGAAGAAGAAGACATTGTCTATGTGTGAAGATGATCACATGAAAATAAAAAACAAAACAGGTAGAAAGAATGATGAATAATTCCAAGGGAATCTGATGAAAGATTGGATCCTAAAAGAAATCACAGTTCAACTGATCAGTCTATAAATATTTTTCTGATAAGCTATTATCACACTTACAGTATAAAACTTCTTAAGCATCCTTCTTAATTCTATTCTCAATCCTACATCTGTCGATCTTATTGCATCCACGGGTATAAGGATTTGCACTCGTACCGGGTTGTTGACAGTTTTGAGCACTGGTGCCTTTTTTTGAGCAAGGAATGTCATTTCTTGTCAATCCTTCGTAGCTGAGATGGCTAGCAAAGCTCATTTCTTCATCGGTACTGGAATCTGTTGCGTATGTCTCTTGGGGTATAGCAATTGGAATAGCGACTGCAACAATAGTAAACATCAAGACGAGTAAAGCTGAGAGCTGCATAATGATGAATATTAATTCAAGACTTCAAAAATAGTATGTAAGTAGTGACTTTTGAAAATAAAGAAATAGACCAATAAATTTTTGTCACAAATAGTCAAAGTGAAGTAGTTTCAGATAATCTGGCTGATTTGTTATCCAAGAGCAAAACGAATCATGCGGGTATATATACCCAATTCGAGGGCTTTGTGTCTTTCTGTTGTCGAAAGTCTAGCACCATAAAGCTGTGTGATTGCGGTGTTTTATTTATCAGGAAGGTATGTACATATTTTGGGATACAAAGGTTGAATTTCTCCGAATCCTACAATGTTGACTAACGCGAATTGGGATATCAACTCTCCTAGTAGCGCTATATACTATCTCACAATTGAGAAGCTATGTGATTGCGGTGAAATAAGGCTCTCAGTGTCAGACTCATGATGCTGTGTTTTATGAATGGTGAGGAAATTATCTTCTTCCTTACAAAAAATAGCCGATATCTTTGAGGACGCGTGGCTAGACTTCAATTGTGAGCCTACTAGCGTCTGTTAGGCTAGTAGAGTCAATAAAAATGTTGTAGAAAGTCGTGTAGATCAAGATCTACAAGTGTGAATGGGTAGAGACGTGGGCGTAAGAGCTTTACTTGCAATAAACAAGTAAAGACTGCAGTTAGTTGACCTTTAAACAAAGGCTTTAGCCCAGGGATTTTGGGTTAATTATTGTCTTTACAATAATTAAAAAGAAGAGCAACTGACGCGCAGTTCTCAATCCTAATTTGATCCTCTTCTATTCTAAGAAAGGTCAAAGAAGGTGGTGTTAAGGTCTATTATAACACCGGGAACTTTACACTCTGACTAATAGAGATTTCCCCGTAGATTTAGAGTTTCTTATATCAGATGAATCCCAAATCTGATATGAGCAATACTCAAGGACTACTTCCTTACAAGTAATTCCACCAAATGGATATTACCAGAAATACTGATTATGGAGTCTAATCAGAAACAAAGTTGAATGAGCACACAGAATAAGCAACAAGACACAAGGTTTGAGTTTCAAGGTTTGTAGAATCAGGCCTTTAAAGTTTGGTTATTGAAAAGCAAAGTTTAAAGGTTCTAGGAAGATGAATAAAAGCAAAGTTGTGTAGTTGTTGAATAATAATGTGACAATGTTCTTCTTCTCAATTTGGTTGGATTTCCAGGGTTTATATAGTCTGAACCTTGGAAATCTTTGGACTACAAGTGCGCACAAATTGTGGTTCTATGGTTAGGTTAATTACAGTAAGACAGTTACTATTGTATTATAAGTATATTTCACTTGTTACATATGTGTTACGGCTGTGAAATATATGTAGCTTTGGTTTGCATCAAAGTTATGTATGTTCACACCCTTTGATTTAAGTTCTGCACATGTTACATATGCTAAATCATATGTAACTTGACTCTTGAAACTGAGCCTTGAGTTGTAATTGCTATTTTTTAAGGTTTTTATTATAATACGTCGCCCATTGGTACTCTGGTTTAGTACTCAGGGCTGACATTCCCCACCACCAGAAGAGGTCATACGCCTTCTCAAGGTTTATGATCTCTTTTTGATGCTCTAAATGTGTGGAGTCATTACTTTGGCATGATTAACTTTATTTGTTGGTATACACTCCCCTGCATGAACTTCTTGATCTTAGTGTTGAGACTCCATCTCAGATTCACTATCCTCATATTCTACAAATTCCATTGTATCACCTGCTCCTTCATTTCCATCTTCTTGTCTATCTTCCTCTGCTTCAACTGCATTTATGGCTATCCCTTTCCCTTTACATGTTTGCCAAACATGCTGAGGATCTGTACTGCCACATGTATTGCAAGACTTACTACTTTTCATTTCAGTAGTAGGATGTTGAGCTTTTGTACTGCTTACTTGGTGCTCCTTGTGTTCATTATTTGACTGAGAGTGAGAATTATTTGTCTGTGTTCTTCTAACAGGCATCAAACTTTTAGCAATATCTTCAAAAGCTAGAATGAAATCTGTCCAACTACTATCCGGACCAATTCTATTTTGGACCGGGATTCTGATTGCGCTGGGTAGCTGCCAAAGTACTTTTTCAGCTACTTCAGATGAGTCTGAATTTGGTCTAAATGATCTAAACCGCTGTTGTTGCCTTGAAGCCCATTTTACACAATCAGAATGGATTTCTGGTTTGAATCTGTCTCTCATGAATAGTCTCTCCATGTAAGACCTCCATTGAGCATTTCCAAACCTGGTCTGAATAGCTTGTTTCCATTCCTCCCAAGTTTTATTATGCCCACTGTCTTCTTTCATGACGTCCATAACCCATTGTCGGGCTACACCAGTAAATACAATTGATAATTTTGATGTAATCAAAATATCTGGCATTTGTAGGCGCACTGGTACTGCGTCAACCCAATCAACAAACTCTTGGTGATTGTACTCACCTTCTCCGCTAAAAGTAGGCCAATCCTTGACATTAGGATATTCTTTCCTTAGTTCTTTTCTGATTGATGCTTGACGCAACAATTCTGTGGTTGTTTCTAAATCTACCATTGAATTGTCAGGATGCAGCACAGTGCTTTGATTTATGTGTTGGGACAAGAATGGATTATTTCCAAGGTTAGGGGTACTTTCCACTCTGAACCTTGATCCATTATCTTGCCTATCAAGGTGAGGAGGTACACTCCTGACCTTCCTTGTTGAACTACCTTGCATAGGAGTTTGACTGATACCTTCAAAATTTCTCACCATTGAGCCAACTCTATTTGTAGGTAAAGTATTGTTTTGTAGTTGCTCCTGCACTTGCTCTATGTCTTGCTCATTACTATTTGTCATTTTCAGCAACATATTTTCAATTCTATCTAATTTAATATTAGTAGAATTTTCAAACTTTGCTTGATTTTCTTTAATTTCCTCTAGACTTCTTGCGAGAAAGTCTTGAAAATTACTCCGCTGGATTTTCTCATTTTCAACCGCAAGTGTTTGGTCTTGGATGAATTTGTTCATTTCATCGCTAGACAGACTGGTGTTCTGATGAAACTGGTTGTCAAGTTTTTCATACAACTTATGATGAAGATTTTCTAACAGTGTAGTTAGAACTTGATCATGTTGAACTACACTAGGTCTCTCACTCTCATGATTTTCACGAAACTCATTCAAAGTATTTTTGAACTCTAGAATATTCTCATTAATATCATTTAGAGAAAACAAAGAGGTTGAATTTTTATCCAAATATAAATTCAAAGACTCTGAAGGAAATTGATTTAGAAAGGAAACCAACTTTCCATTCAAACTAGAAACATCTTTGTTATCTTGCCTGATAACCTTATAAAGTTCTTTGTATTGAGCATTAACAACTTCTAAAAGATGAAATTCTTTTTTTAATACTTCTGAAAACTTAGACCCTGATTCATTACTAAAATCTCTGATATTGGAATCCAAAACTTCTAAATTACCATTAAATACTTTCAAAAATTCCTTAAGGGACTGATTAAATTCATTAGAAACATTTATCTGTTGTTCAAAATGTCCAAGATAATTGGTTATTTCAGTCATCATAGGTAAAATGAATTCACTCTGAGTGATTTCTGAGAACTTACGTAAAATAACTCTTTCTTGAGTACTCAGTGTACCTAAATCTTTTTCTCCAGGCCTCTTTGACTTCTGAAGTTTTGCAAGAAATGACCCCTGTTCAAAAGAATCAGTGCTTGGCCTGCTTCCACTTGAGCCTGGTAATAGACCTGAAATTCCTGCTGGCTTGAGTTCACTCAGCTGTGATTGTACTATTGAGCCAAATGCCCTTGGTGTGACCTCGGATGGGAGTTCCGCTGGTGGTTCATGGCCGTCTCCGGCTGCTGAGCTTCTGGTTTGACCACTCTCAGACCGAACATATGGATCAACTACTGAGCTCAAATTTTCTGCCACTGATGGTTGTACTATACCAACTCCTGTAGTCAACGGAAGGTCTGTTGAGTCTTTTTGCAGAGCCTGAGTGGTAATTGAAAGCTTGCCTTTGCCTTCATTTGCCCTTTGCTTACTGCTGGCTGTTGATCCTGCCCTGGATCCAATCTTTGACCATGGTCCATCAGTTCCAGGCCGGCTGGTGCTGGTGGTTTGGAGGTTACCATAACGTTCTGGCTCATTACGGCTACGAGGGTGAGGTGGTGGATTCCAATCTGCCATTATGATAAAGGGGCAGATGTGAAGTTTTGCCTTCTACTTCAGGTGGCTGTTCTGAAATGAATTCAAGATCTGTTTTCTTGATTCTTAATTAGTTCTGATGTTTTTTTACTTGAAAGAAATCAAAAAAAATCCAAAGGCAATAATCTTTTAATCAACAATATCTCAAAGTTTACAAGAACTCAACAAAGATGTGATATTGGATCTGATAATCTATTTGATATTTATCAATTTTTGTTACAGAAGGCAATTTGGTAAAAACAGGTCACAATTGGAACTGAGGTTAACCAAAGATTGTTTGAGTTGACAGTGTGATTGCAAAGTTTTAGTCAACTTGATTTAATTACAATCAGCTATTGAATTTAGTGCTTCTAGAATGAATCTAGATACAAAGTTCTCCTTGAGATGGTATCTGTCAGCCAGGGCATATGTCCCTACGTGACATATCCTCTAACTAACAAATGGAAGCGCGGAACCATACATGAAAGACTACTGTCATATTTTCTTTACTCTTTTCTCACTTTACATCAGAATCATTCTTTTCTACATTACATATAATTTTAAATTTTTCATAATATCTTTTTTATATAACATCCATTAACTAATTCAAATTAACTGTGGAAAGTAAGATTGAATTAATTAAAGAAGTTATGATCCCCTGAAGGGAGTAGAAGTCTCAGTTCTTGACTCTCGAGTTGGTTGGAGGACCCAGCTCGAGTTTCAAATTCATCTAAAACCAATTCGGACATAAACGCCTGGGAAACGTTAGTCCA